CCATTACTTCAAGGTGAGAGGTACAAAGAGACCACAAGGCCCCCGCTGTCGTGCATCCAGACAGCCCCATCTGCACCACGTAAGAAGATGAGAGCAAAGTTGGTGAGCACCAGCCCTGAATCTTGGCCAAAGGCATTTTGGCTGCTGACTTTTGGCTGCATGTTTTTGCCAGCTAGGTCTCCAGTTACCAGTTTTTCCTCAGGAAACCCTTTTTTTGGATGCTACTGAGGGTTTGCTTGACCACTAACTGTGGTCCAGCCTACTAATGCTGCACTCTTCTCTCCCTGTAAAAGAAGGAGGGGTTGCATGCAGTACTTCTGACCAACCCGCAGTTCTCAGTCCATGCGGCCATGGTAATACAGGTGATCTGCCAAAACACACAATGTTGAATGGAGGCAGGACACGTGGCAGAAAGTAAAGCCTATCATGGAAGCGCTGTGATTTCAACTCCCCCGCATAATTAAAGTAATACATAACCAAAAGTGTTACCGGTTTCAAGTCTCACTGCCTGCCTACACACTTCCTCACATAAAAAGCAGTTATCTCATCATGTCTCATCTTCACATCATTGTATTTGTCCTGATACTGAGCCAAAACTTCATGTATTTGTTTCTTTTTTTCTTGACTGTGTCCCTGTTTAGCTATTGCGTTGAGTAGAAAATGAATCGAAATGGAGTAGAGGTTGTAGGTCTGGCCCTGAAGTGATACCTGGTCCTGATACTTGTTTGGTTTTCTATAGACAGGCCTCACACTCCTGTCAAGCCCTCTTGGCTCAGTGGAGGTCTAGCCTAGCCCCAGCGAAGAGTGGTGATCTTCAGCTTTTCCCTGTAATGAGAGGCTGTGGAAGTGGTGATCAATACCCTATTCCTTTAAAGCAAGAAAACAAGACGTTACATCTTTGGTCCTAATGCAGCCCATTTGACAAGCTACTTGAAGGTGTCGTGTTTTTCTTTTGTATAAATTTTTTTTTTTTTTTTATTATTTCAAAAAGGCTCCTTAAAAGTTGTATGTCAGAACAAAGAGATAACACTTACAAAAAGAAAGCTAGAAAATGGGATCCCAATATAAAAATTTGAACCAGTGGTGATAAAACATTATAAACCATTCTTGCTAAGTGTTATACACAGTTTGACATTTCATGAGTATATGGTCTCCATCAGGAAGGAGGACACAGGTACATTTTCATACTTTGTCCTGATTCAGATGTTTTCTCACAGAGAAACATGGGGGGAAACAAAAGCCAGAGTACCATAACTGCTCATTTGGAGAGGCAGCAGTCGTACTAACAGAAGACGTTGAACTCTGAATCTGAAAAATGAGCGCTTGTCTGGAAATGCAAAGTTTCTCCTTGGCACCCTGGAGCACCCCCAGACAGACCGACGACACCCCAGGCACTTTGTGATGGGACCTCTTTAAGCTGTCTGGGGTCCTGTGACAGTGTTGTAGCCCTAACTGCGTCTCCCAGGGAAGAGATTCACCCCATAGCACGAATGCCACGTACATTGGTTTTCGCACAAGCAATCTCTGCAAGAGGGCTTCACTTCAAGCCAGTAGCAGGGACAGGAGCCATGTGTGTCTACTCCCACCCGTACCTGCCGGAACAGTCAACAGCCTCAGTGATGTCCCTGGGCAAATTTGGCAGCTGTCTCGGGTATGGATTGGCCGGCTGGCATTCCTTCCCTGGCATTACTCAACCTACACAAGCCCCTTACTTTCAAATAAACCACAGGACTATATTTTCTAATGCCGGGGCTTCAGGTGGCCATCTGACGATGATGCTGGTGGGACAGGGCATCACCTTGAGGCGTCCCAGAAACCACCATCTAGTTCCAACTGCTCTCTCTAGAAAACTCACTGTATTGTTGCCTGCCAGCTGGAAACAAAAGCAAGCCCCCCGGCCTCTCGGATGAATTTACCCAACAAGACCAATTGCAACATGAAAGAAATTTCCCAAGCCAACTCCCTTTCCAGCAGAAGAAAACAACCCAAGGCCCAAATGAAGTCAAGTGCGCTGACACTGTACAGAGATCACTGGAAAACATCAAAGTAAGATGAAGACTCTTGACTTAACTTACATTTTCATATACTTAGCAGTTATTAAAAGTCTTAAATTATTATTGCAAAAGCAGTTCCATATTAACTGCTGCTTTATGATTAAGAGACGCTAAGCACTAACCTGTGAGTGGTTTTATTTTGCCTTCCATGAGAAATACAGTAAAAAGGGAATTTTCAAGTTTCTTGTTAGCTTTTAGAAGTGGCTGTGGCCTGATACATTTCCCCATTTAGTTGCGTTTTAAAAATCAGCATTTTCTACCCACACCTCCCAAGACACAATGGCAGAACTTTCAAGTTATTTTTGGATGCTGATTTATGCTGCCTAACTGTGTTTGCCTTTATGAGCACCTATGATCTGCAGGGGGCTCCTTGCTATTAAATGGTCAGTGAGCTGCAGTGGGAAACCCAGACCATTTCAGCTGCTTATTGATTTTTTTTTTTCATCTCAGTGGAAATCATTTAGTACATTGCTAATGCCTGTTACCCTATGAGCATCACCTTGCGTAGCACCCGTGCCTCCAGCAAACAGCCACGCAGCTGTGCGGTCCCATCTGCTCCCAGCACCGCTGTATCTGCCCCTGCAGGCACTGCCCACAGACTACAGCACACTGCCCAGTTTTTATTTGTTGCTGGCTTTTGAATCATTAATGAGTTGCCGATTTACAAATCACAGCTTACAGGATGACTATTTACCAGAACTACTTTACAATATAGCTGATCCCACCAATCTGGAATCTGTGCATTTGTATTCAGAGTCTGTGGTCCTACATCCTCTTTCCTACTTTTCTCATCAAAAACAATACATTTAAAAAGCGATGCTCTTTCAAACTTCCATTGCTTAATTTTTAGATGAAACTCCTTGTTTCTAGCAATAAGTCGCTACTGAATCCCTCCTGAATTGTTTGAAAAGGGCAATCATATTAAACTCTAAATAATTTTCATGCTACATAATGCTGGTGATATATATTGCTACTTCTTAGTGGCTTTCTTGTTTTAGCTAACAGATTAAAATAAAATATCAATAAATTCCTTTGTGCTATAGCTTTGGAAAGATTCTGCAGGAGAACATGCACTATGTGATTTTTTTAGTGTTCTGCTTGAAGACATAACAGATTTAGCAAATTGAAAATTATCTGTGATTTCTGTTAAGATCTTTTTTTGGTTTTATGTACATTCCTCCTGGGGCAGTGGGTGGAGAAAAGCAGCGCTGCCTGTGCGTACATGTTGCACGCTTGTGAGAGCTACTCAACAGCTCTGCTCTCAGGAATGCAAGGAGAAATCTGCCACTAATTGGACGTGGGAACTGAATTTTGGTTAGCGTTTTAAATACAAGCCAGTAATAATCAAAGTCAAACATTGCATCCTCCATACCGCTGTACCTGGGACTTGGTCACGGTGACACACATGTACCAAACAGGACAGTCTTTGGATTTTGACCCAATATACTTCTTTACCCTAGACTGGCAGCGTGGCCAATGAGCTACTGCACACACACACAAGCTGCTAATGCATTTTACACTGTGTTACTTATAAAAGGGGTTATTTCACATGACCGTTTTTCTCCTTCATTCCTCAATAAATCTGTTCTGAGGATTTGCTGCCTGATCCTGGACTCCAGATGCAATACTTAAACTGAAACACATACTGACATATTCAAAACACAGTGGCAGCATAAATTTGACTATTTCTTGCTACTTAATATAGACAACAGATCCTCTGCAACTCAGCTGCTTATGCTACCCTTAAGCAAGTTGCCAATGTTCAACTAGTTAAGGACCTTTGTACCAAAATCACCAAATGCACATTTGCTTTCTGATCTAGTGGTTTGATTAAAATAGCACTGCCAAGCTGCTGGGGGGATGCATCTAAATTACTGACTAAATTCACACTTTAGGCACTTTACTCCTCCTACATTCATAAGAAATGTTAATGATGGAAGAATGTGAAGTTCTGTATCATGGGCCCCTAGAAAGAATAGCTGCTTTTGTTGCTATGATTGATTTATACTATCAAGCTAAAATCTTGGTCTTGCCTCGCCTGCCTATTCCACACTAACAACAGAAGATGATGCTGGGTATTTTAAAGAAGCAGTAGGCAGCCCTGTGTCTCAGAAGAAGGAGATAATATTTTCCATCACTCCAGATTATTCTTCCTTTCCTTAATTCACTCTCACTGCCCCTCCTGCATTGCCAGGATATGTAACTCCAAAGGGACAGGCAACTAGCTCCAGCCTCTGCCCCAGCTTGGTACAGCAACTGGCAGTACTCTGCCATGAAGCGACTAAAGTGTAACACTGATATATCCCTTTTCTTTGCCAAATGTATAAGGGGAAATGATTTCTGCTCTGAGGCCCTTTAAGAAGGGAAATGAAATTGCTTGGCTAGAGCTACCTGTGTTTCTTGCCCTAGTCAAGTTTAATTTAGTATAGTTCTTCCAGTCTGTCTCGTGAATGCTCCAATTTGCCACCATTTGCACTTCCTTGACATTTAATTAAAGTCTGTTAAACATTATTGACACTTCATTTTTCAGTTACGGCAACATCTTTAACAGTTTTGTTGAAGAAAGGCATTTTGACAACTTGACAGCTGCATAAGGGATCAGAAAAAAAATGTCTTGCGTTTGACCATCAGAAAACAGACTAGCGAGCACTTTATAACCATGTACAGTCAACTTAGAGGTGAGCTCCTCCTGTCAGTTTTTAGCAATAGTGGTCAGTAGGTGATGTGCTGTGCTGTGCTGTTTTGCTCCTTGTGCTAGTTTTCCCTGGAGCGATCCACGCCATACTGCCCTGGGCAGAATCTCCCATACGTCCCCCAGATGCACTTATCCTCTTCGTGCCAAGAGGCAGTATATGGAGCCAATTTATAAAAATCCGGTGGTTTGGAATAACTGTTTCTGTTCCAGGAGTTTTGGAAAACTATTTAGTAACATTTATTTTTTTTTTCCTGCTGGTGATCTGAGCACCACATAGCAGACCAGCAGTACAAGCGTCTGATCTTGTAAAAGATCCAAAAATTCTGTTAGAAACATTTATAAAAATACAGACTGTAGAAAGGAATTTGACTGTACACATTGTACAGCTCTCAAGTTCATCCCAGAGTGGCTTCTTACCATGCTACCATTTGAAAATGAAAGGAATGCATCCGTATTTCTTCTGTCCAGGAAGACCCCGCTTCATCCCAACATGCATCTGAGTGCAGGCTATGGGCCTCAGTTATTATGTGGAAATGGGCAAGAAAAGACCCAAACTACCATCAGATAGGCTTTGCAGTTTCAGCCCCCATGCTGAAAAAGACAGGTGTGCTTATTGATGCATTGCGGTTGCTGTTCGCTCTGAGCAAGAGTCTGTTCTTGCAGCAGCCAGGTAGTTCACCGAGAGTCTGGCTTGCCTCGCTGCAAGAAGAAATCCTCTATGGTCATGCTGAGGCTTCAATGTATTCACTTTTTGGTGCTGCTACCTTCAAGTACTCCGGGTTTTCTGCCGCGGGAACTTTCAAGAGACCATTAGGTTTGGTTTCCTTCGGTAAGAAGTCCTGCTGGTAGTCAGGATTGTCCAGATTTATTTGGTGGTTGCCCGCCTGGATCCAGTAAGGAGAGCTCTCGAAGACTGTCTTGGCCAGTGGAGACTGGTTGGTGTTGAGATACTCAGGGTTATCCACAGCTGTGCTGTGTGAATTCTGGTAGCTGGAGTCCGTGGGGACCTTTGAGTTTGCTGTGAGAGAGAAGTTGTAGATCGGATTCTGGACTGCTGAGGCAGATACTTTCTTGGGCACCAACTGGTTGACGTACTCTGGAATAAAAAGAAAATAAAAATTAGAAGGAATGAAAATGAAGGCATGTAACTAATGCAGCCATTTGTGTCACTTGAGGTGTAGTTTCAACCCAGCTGCCACTTGCTCTTTGCACACAGCATCTCACTGAACTTCCCGGAGTGGAAGAGAGCCAAAGGCAGGGACTGCCATGCCGTGGCACCAAATGCACTGCCCTGAAGTTCACCTTCAGGAATTCAGTTTGCAAAGCAGCAGAAAGATGGCTTGGACCACAAGACAGCGAGATAGCTACTGCTGATTTTAGTGACGCGTGGGTGGCTACGTCCCAGATACTGTTCTGAAATCACAGTCTCGGAGCTTAGCTGCCAGAAGCTGTTTCCCTAGAAAAATGTTTAGAGATGAGGAAAACACCTAGAAAATACAGGACTGGCAGTAACAGAGACACCACGTTTAACTTCAATGCCATCCCTTGCAGGGTCTTTCACCCTTGTTAGCTGTGGCGTATTCTTGGAAGGGTTGGTTGGGATTTTTTAAGGGCACAAAGCATCATGACTGCATAACCCAGCACCAGCTCCCTCGGTGCTCGCTGGCTCGCTCTCTGACCGCCTGCGCTGTTAAGTCCATGTGAAACCGTGAGCTGCCTTCTGTGTATCAACATCTGAAAGCAGTGAAACTGCCAGAAAGCTGTTTATATTGCTGAAATGGTTTAAGGGGTGAAACCCGGTTTTTAGAGGATATTTTCCCAAGCAGAAAGCTTTAAACATATAACCACGCACACAAACTCCCTGGCCAGATGGCACGCATGGCAAACATGAGGAACCTGGCTTCTGAAGGAACCGCAATGAGAAATGACTAGAGCAGCCAGATAAAGTCTAGGAAAAGGATACGTGTACACGTTTTCACTCCTGTTTACCGAGCAAAAAAAGGTAGGAAGCATTTGGATTGCTTCCTTTCTACAGAAAAGGAAGGACAACGATTATATTCACAACCAAATGGCTTGTGAATGAGTGGTCGTGGGATGTAAACATGGGAGAGGTACTCACCCGGGGCTGGCAGGAAGCCATCGTCTATGCTGTCCTCCAAGAAAGTGCCTGTTGGGTCTGAGCTATACCTCTGGACAAAGCTGTCTTCCCTCACAGGGTGCCCCTGCTAGGTTTGAAGCAGACAAAACCAATATTAAAGGGACTGTTCTGTAGAAGTTGATCCATATAGGAGAAGTTGCTCCTTTTTTAAAGGTCATCCCACTTACCCCGTTTCTGTCAATGCAGGTTGTAGCAGAATTGTTGCTAGTAGCACTCTTTTAAAAAAGAGAGAGAGAAAGAAAATACAGACATCATGAGAAGCAGTTCACTATTAAAATTGCTTGTCATGTTTCTACAGAGGAAAAGTTTCATACCAATGAACTCAAGAGAGGAGTGCGGGAGGTTGAGGGGCTGTTGAAGAAGCCCTGGTGTGGCACGAGATACTCATCCGCGTCCACTATATCTTCCATGTCCTCCTCCTCCATCAGGGTGCGATAAAACTTGGAGTCCGTAGGGCTGGGCAGGTGCATCCTATCGTCTCCCTGTGAGACAAGTTGGTGTGAGAGAGGACTCGCAGACTCCCTTCAAGCTCTCATTATCCCCTTCTCTGAGAGACAAAGTAATTTAGTGAGAGGTCCAAGATGTATAATCTTGATCTATGTGTTTAACAAAATTTACTTAGAGTTTAGGGGAATTTGGGCCTGCAATCTCTGTCTATGCCGCTGTAAAGTATCTGCGTTTTCAAGAGGATCAAACTCTGTTCTCCTCTCAGGACTGCAGTATAGGCTGTTACTGGTCCTAGACTGGGACCAGTACTACGAGAACAGTGACTGGTCTTGAAATTCTGTTTGTGGTTCTAGCTGAATGTGTTAAGACCTGGAAAGCAACAGTAAATCTGGCCTTAAATTATCGATATTATATGTTTTCATATGCATTACTAATCATTTTGGGCCTCATATTAAATGCCCATCAGACATCTTCCTACCATTGGGTTTAGTACCTGTATAACGAGATAGCGTGGGGGGTCACGGGCCATTTTTGAGAACTCCGCTATCAGTTCACGAAACTTGGGACGGCTGTCTGCATCAATCATCCAGCCTGGAGGGATGACAGGGAAAGAACAGCACAAATAAAGTTCTTCTGGTGATCAAACACAGAGCGTAAAATAAAATGTAACAGTGAAAAGAACAGCACCATGCGTGCTGTTAAGGTCCCTGTAAAGGACCACCATAAAAAGTTACTTCACCAGCCACTGCTGTGAATTTCAGCATTTAAAATGCACATCTTGGCAGTCTGGGGAAGAATGAAGGAGGTAATAAAACCCCATGTTGGAAAAGCTCCAGGCTGAGCCTGTCTCCTCTCCTGCTGGCCTATCTCCGCTTGGGCAGGCAGGTTGCACCTGAGCAATACCAGTCCTCAGGATACCAAATGGGTGGCCAGCCTGGATCAGGTCCGAATTAGGCTGCTCTGAAGAAGTTCCTGAAGGAGGGGAAGCAAACTAACTTCAGCAGGCACACGGTCATTTGACCGTCTAGTCCTCACTGCACTGCTTCGTGAAATCCTGGAAAGCCTAAAGCAGAAGCTACCCGCTGTACCAGATGTCTTCTAAAATTCAAAACATCCTTGCTGGGGACATTTTGAAAGATTAACCATATCTAAGCTGTATTTAATTAGTAAACGGACTTTAACAAAAACAAGTCCTATAGTTTAGTGTGGATCAATACTAGAATAGATTTTGAATATAGATACTGGTGGTTTAACATGTGAGATTACTTAGGAAACCCACGCTTTCTGTTATCAACTAACAGATGAGCTGATGTAGAGACTCTTGTGTTTAACATTAAAAATAATAAAGGTCAAGCTTAGTGTGTCTGGCTGAACTCATAAGAAGCAGCCTATCTATAGTAATGGAGAAATTAAGTGATAATATGACATCTGAAACCTGCATTAGACAAAATCTCATCATTGCCAGTGACTTTTTACCATGCTAGAAGTATGATTCCCTGCTAATTCAAGAAGAAATCCTTTTTGCTTTTAGACAGAGTGGAGCATTTGGGAGTTCGCTGCTGTTGCAGAGGTACCATCTACTATTTCTGAATTTATCTCTGAGTTGCATATGTTTAAATACTGCTTCTTAAATAAAAAAAATAAAAATTGCTGTGCAATAACTTTGAACATTGCAGTTTATACTCTCTGCTTATAAAAGAGATGACTAGGAATCCTGAATTCCTTTAGACAAAATGGCACGGCTTCAACAGGGTCTGTGCTATAGCCTGCAAACACAGGGTGATCAGAGCGGTGAAAGATGTGCAACCGAGTCCTGTGGTAGAAGGAAGGTTCAAAGCCCAGATTCTCATGTTCTTGCATTTAAATTCAGTGTAACGGGATGAAAGGGGATGCGGAGACTCCACTAGTCATGTTTTAAAAGCAACAGATACCTGATTAGGTGCCTGGAAAAATGCCTGCTTTCTACATCTGGCCTGACCCAAAGGAAGGGCAATGGTTGGAGCCTCTGAGCTTTGTGAAGGCTCAGCCCCTGAGGACGTGGTCTAGTGCAGAGCTTTTAAAGACCTGGGACATGACTGCTGCAAGCAGAGATGTTGGCAGGACTGAGGTGTCAGTAGAGTTCAGCATCACCGCGGAGGAGCTTCCAGGACACTGCTTTTGGGTCTGGGCACCTCCCAGGCTAGGTGCACACATCTGGATCTGGTTCCTGCTCGCTTTGGTGAGCACAGGATCAGGCTTTCCCTGTGCGGTGCCTCTCCTGACAAAGCAACGCTGGGGCACTGCAGGACTCCCCAAAAGCGCTGCACTACAGGGTGTTCATGGTAGCATGGCTCCTGTTTCAGGAACGGGTACATTTTGCTCCAGTGAGAAGGTCTTAAATGCCACCTAGTGGGCTTTTTATCAGCATCCTCACAGACACTACTGGTAGCGAGCAGGGATGCGGCAGTCATGGTCTAGGGATGCACGGGAAGCCAGGTAATAATCTGACATTTTAGCAGCTGATATAGATGGAAAAGGGGTTTGGGGTTCCCAAGCTCTTTGATGTGCCCTAACAACGACCAAAAAGTGCTTCAGAGACCCCCAGCTCCTGTGCTACTTTACAGCAACAGCCATGTGCCGAAAAGGAGCCATCCAAAATTGAGGAAGAAATGGGATGAGGAACTCCAGATCCTCATTGCATCTGCCATTACAGCGGTGCCTGTGCTTACAGCACTCCTTTAGTAAAAGGAGCACATAATCTGTGTGTGTGATTGCTGGGGGAGGCATATTACTGAACTAAGGGGGAGCCTGGAGGAAAGGCAGCGTTAATTTTATTTTCTAGACACACAAAACCAGAGGATCAGGTAAAGTGGGTGGTGTTATGCTGATTTATACTGCCTGACAGCATCAGTTTAAAATAATTGACAATATCAGCCAGTGGTGTGAATGGTGAAAAAACATTAGTTGGCTGAATTAGCGACTAACGAAACCATATCCTGTGCCCCTAGTCAAAGCTCAAGGGATGGGAACATGCTCTGGTGTCACCACTCTTTTCACATAACCCTATTTCTGTGCGATCACCAAGAACACAGCGTATACAAATGCGACATAATGAAGGCACTTGTGCTACTTATTTGACTTAGGTTAAGCACCCACAACCCCAAATGTGAACTCACATTTGACCATGATCATGTACACATCAATGGTACAGATGGGGGGCTGGGGCAAACGCTCGCCCTTCTCCAAAACAGAGGAGATTTCACTGGCAGGGATCCCATCGTATGGCTTGGACCCAAATGTCATCAGCTCCCAAACTGTCACACCTGCAGGGTGGGAAGGGAAGATCGTGAGAGAGGCTTTTCCAGGAGCCGGGGTGCTTGGCCTGGGCGCAGAGAGGTCGTGAGTAGAGAGGGCTTTCCCACAGGCACTGCATTGCCAGAGCCCCACCCAGGAAAAGCATTTTCTGCCATGATTTTGAAGAGAGACAAATTAGTAAAACAGGTTGAAATAATTTCAGGTTTCGGGTTTTTTTGGTTTTGTTTTTTTTTTAACCTCAGCTACTAGTAGCTCAGTGTTCAACATCCCACAAACTTCCCAGCCCCATAGAAAGGAAATGCAGGTTACCGCCTCCCGACTCCAACCCAGCAAGTGGTTTCAAAAATGGAAGTTGTATTTTTATTTCAAAACAATCTCTTTGGAGACAAGCAAGAGCAGTCTTTAAAAGATGTGTAAACCAGCTGCCTCAGTGTCATTTACTGACAACCACGTACTCTTGTGATGTAGCTGTTGTGATTGTCTGGTAGCTTAGGATACAAAACAAGATTTTGGATGCCAAGATACGTGAACGGATTAAGAGGACCAGAGGCTGTACTTTTTCTAAAAGGACACAGGATCTGACCATCTGCATTAAATATTTTCCAGGAATACAAGAGCTCATGGAGTGGAAATTTTGGAATAAGTTGCTCTGAAAAGTTACATTTCTGCTTCTCTTTCTTTCAACTTGGCTTACGAACTATACCAAATATAAAATGAATTCTCTAAGGAGGAGAATTGCTTCCCACTTTGCTTCCCTTTCAGTGTTGTCCTCGCAATACCAGGACAGCACAAACATTTTAGGCCACAGCAGTTGCACTGATAGACACTGACTGACAGCATGGCCAATGGTTTTAAGTCTTCCCTCTAGTTATGTGGCTTTATTGTCAGCTCAGTTATATTTCACATAAAGCTGCTGAAGAAAAGTGTCAGCAGAACTTCAGCAAATGGAGCAGAGTCTCCGACCTGCAGTCCCTTTCAGGGAGGGCTGATCATCTGAAAGCATATTCTGCAAAACATCTTATACCTCACTAGCATGAAATTTCATGGGAATTTTGCTTTACTGAATAGGTGATTTGGGCCCATTGTTTGTTAAATCTCTCAGTCTTCTCATAATAGGAAGAAGAAAGCTCTGTGTAGAGTCACTAGCAAATCCTGCAATTTTCCAACCCACTTGCAATAATTATAACTAGGTTTAGACTCACCATAACTCCAGACATCACTTTGATGAGTGTAAATCCGGTGTAAAATTGACTCCAAGGCCATCCATTTAATAGGAACCTAGGAAAATTCACAAATAAGCCTTAAGAGGCTGAACCAAAATTTATCAGCAGTATTTACCACCAGGTGGTGTTTAAATCAGTAGTTTGGTTGTAGAAGGGAAAAAAACAACCAAGAAACACCACAACTATCAGAGTGGTAGAGCAGGCAACTTTTGAGTCCTTTATTATTTTCATTTATTATGTTGAACCTGGGAACTTGTGAAATATTAGGCATATTAGAAATATCTCTTACAAATTAGTATTACAAAATTTTTAACAGTCAAATTACTATTTTTTTAACCTCCTATCATAACAGGACACAAATGCAATCTCAGGCTATATGACAAAAACTGGTCTGCGCTCATATGGTTTCCATTTATGGTCTCCGCAATATTTGCAAGCAGCTTCATTTTAATTTCTCAGCAGGACACATTCCCTCCACCAGCACGTAGTACAACACAAAGGCGTGTTGAACCAAGTCTGACAGGTCTTTCTTCTGCTATAAATATACAGCATTGCCTTTTTCTTCATAAATGGCACAGTGTTATTGGTGTTGGCTACACTGATGAATTCAGCCATGCTTTTTTTTTTGTTATGTTTTTTTAATAATGTTGCTTTTTCCCAGACATTCTGGGTGGGAATTTCAAAAGCATTTGCTGCTCTGCTACCTCCGCTCCCACTACAGTCCCACTGGCCTGATGCTGCTTTGGCTGATTTCAGAGGACTCCCACAGGCTTCAAAGGCAGCATGCTGAGATGGCAGCTGAGCGCTTTGAAAACCCCACTCTCTTTTTTTGCCCTGTGTTTAAAGCTTGTGCGCAAGCACAAACACCGACAAATGCGCAGCGGTTCATTTTGCTGATGTGCTTTACCTTGCCTCCCTCAGCGTGATACTCCTTCTCATCAGCGCCGAGCAGCTTTGCCAGCCCAAAGTCCGTGATTTTCACGTGTTGAGGAGTCTTAACAAGGACGTTCCTGGCAGCAAGGTCACGGTGCACCAGGCGACGTTCCTCCAAGTAGTTCATTCCCTGCAATACGAGAGACCATGGGTAGGCATCACACACTCTGAGCTTGGATGCGCAAACAAGTTACCAAATGTCAGCCACTCTGTGGTAACTGTATGCACACCACCATAAACTCGTGGCAACTTATTGCCCCTTCAGAAAAAGGTCTGCTGTTTCAATTTACATGATGGTTATTGCAGGGTGAGGATGTGCGCTTGCACAGTTACAAGGAGAAGTAACTATTACCCTCCAGGAAACTTATTGTGGGTCCATGTGCCAGTGGAGCCATGGAGAAAAAAGGGACAGTAGCAGGTATAGCAGGGGATGCAGTTCCTTTAGGATTTAGTTCAAGAAATATAAAATTGGGATAGGACTTGAAAATAAGGGGGTAAACCCTTCTTTCAGCTGCATTTGTGCAACCCCAGTGACTTCAGGAGAGCACAGTGCAGAATTTAACTATCACCTTCCATGCACACACAGGCCAACCCTACAGGGAGTATGTAGACACTAATGGCCTGGGAGAAGAGTCCAAGCAAAAATAAATTAATCATTCAAAGTTGTCAATTCTGCATCTCGTTACAGTGTACTCTGCCTTCTCCCTGCTAACAATGAGGCATCCCACCACAAAGGTGAGAAAAGGAAATAAAATTAAAAAAATTCATTTTATGGCTGAGGTCAGAGTTGCATCTATTTTCCAGACCTCTTTGAAAAGGCAAGTTCTTCCAGTTTCACTGCCTCCCATGATTAGACTGGGTTTGCCATAGCATATGTGCTTTTTTGGTACAACTGCGTCTCGTGAGGCATATGAAGAGGAAGAATACTACTAATTGTGCCAGTTTGACTTTTAAGGTATGAATCTAACAGCTGCATTTCTGACCACAGAGATTATTCCCCTTTCCCTCAACTCCAATCTCTTGGTGTATGGAATCAAAAAGTTCATGATTTTTAAGTTTCCTGCAAGATCCTTTCTAAAAACCACAATTATTCCCAGTCGATAGACTTCTGCTGGCAGCAGTTTACACACTTGTATTTTTATGAAGAGAGAATTAATAAAAAAGTACTTCTAACCTACAAAGTTAACACCAAAATGATCATGCTGATGTGATGACAGAGCACTGGAGGGAATAATTCCCTTCCAGCCTCCACTCCCTTCCTAAGCCCACTGCGAACCTGGACCACCATCGAATCCTCCACCCAAGTCCCTCCGCAGAACTTCACCCATGCGCTGCTAATGTTGCCAAAACAAACCACCCAAACAAACTGGCGCAATGCCACTACGAGCGTGCATTTAATTGCACAAATACATCTTTAGTGAGCAGAGCTCTTGAAACAAAAAATCTTGAGCTGCTGACAGAAAGCAGACTATCTTAAAAAAAAAAAATCACTTAATCTAGCCCCAACAGGACAAAAAATTTCCAGCTAAACGTGTCTTACTGCAGAGACTTATTAAGACACAAAGCTGCTGAAAGGCAGAATATCAGTTTCACACTAAGCTGTTTAAGATGCTGGTGGCTAAAAGACTTGTGCACATGCATGACCGTATACCGAAGACGTTGAACTGCTCATCTAGAAAGTTCAGCAGATCTGTAATTGTGTACAGGCCTGGGATTTAAGATATTTTTCATCATTAAGTGTGAGACCAACGTGTTCAAAGAATTACTTCATAGTGTTTCTGCATGTGGAGAGTCTATGCTCTGTCATAACATCTTGTCTGAAAGACAGGACTCCATACCTCAGAGAAAGATAATGTTTATAGATGCAAAGAAAACTTTAATTCAAAGCTGTGAAAACAGAAACAAAAATAAGCTTCCTAGGGAACGTGCCTCCTGCTGGTTAGTTACCAGACATAAAAATATTTGTTTCAACTTTCCCCCCCCCTCCAAAAGTACATTTTTAAAGAGTCAGAGAATGTCCAAAAATCTGGCATGACTTTATCAGAGTAGTAACACCAGACACATTGGTGGGAAAAAGCCGTATGTGTGATTTACGAGGACTTTGAGGAGAACTTCAGTGTGGAGCAGCACAAAGAAGTGCGTTGAAGGTCAGGCATCGCTGGAGAGGGTAGAGGTTGCTACGGGCAAGTGTTGAACCGACACCAAAAAAATCAAACAGAAGCTAACAATTGTGAATGGCAACCTTTCGGGCAAGTGATGCCCCAAGGATCAATTTTGCCACCTTAAAAATTAACAAGGAGGGGGAGGAGGAGGAGGAGGGAAATGTGGCCTCCAGCTCATCCTCCAAAAGGACTGAAACCAGGACAGAGCAGGAACTGATTTTAAACAAGAGAGCAAAAGAATCAGAAAAAGGCAGTTCACATCCTGGGTGGACACATAAATTAAAATTCACTTGCTGTGGAGAGCCCTGTAAAAAAGTACACACACTGAGATGAAAAATGTGCTCTGTATGCTTTTGGTGTATACATTTCTGAGGTCCTCAGCATGTTTCCTGAAAGCAAACCATGGCCGGGCGAGCCTGGGATGTATACAAGGTCTCAAGGGACTGATAAGGCTCTAAGTGCGTGGTTAATTTGCAGACTGGCATTCCTGAAATAAGCAGCATTAAAGCAGCTGAGCTTTGTGGATACTGCCATCTCATACATCGAATCTCCAACAAACTGCAGCTATTTTTTTTGCTAGTTTTGCTCCATTCTTTCACGCTTGCAAATGGCTAACCACCTTCCAAACACAACATATTGCTGCTAAAGGCTAGAGGCTGTATTTCAGCTTACTTTGCTGCTCTTCTCTTTGGCAAACAGTTCCAGGTGTGATAACGAGTCTTTTATTTGGCACTATGGCCATTGCAATTAGATTACAGGCACCAACTCAGTGCATATAAATTACAGAACAGCCCTGAGGTGCCTGAATGTCTTTCAGTCACAGCGAGCCTGAGCTAGAATGGAGCTGGTATTTATTAATCAGCAGTTTCAATCCCTAGTCCTCAGAGATTTCAGCCTGAAATTCTCTGAGGCACACAAGAAGGTGTATTCAACATCACTGTTTGCCCCGTGGCACAGCCCAAAGATGGAAGCAGCACTTTGGTATGAGAATTGCCAAATTCTATTCCCCTCCCTGCCACAGCTTCATTGCATCACATTATCATTTCATTACTGGGTGTTTGGTTTGGACATAAATGTCTTGGTGATAATATTACGCTGTCTAGGAGCATTTTGAAGAATAGTTAAGGTTTGCTCAGCAGCTTGAAAATGGTAAATTGTTTAAGACAAAGTAACCATTTACTGTCACATATAAGGTATCTAGGAACCATGTGGTGAATAGAAAGATTTACAGAGACAGGTAAGTAAATAAATACATTACACGCTGCCAGATCTCCATGTTAGAGTGTGAGTTTTAGCTGATCTGGAGGTGTGCTGGTCCGCTCACCTTTGCAATCTGCACACACCAGTTGAGAAGGTACTGGGAGCCGATGTTGTCCTTGTGCTCTCGGATGTAATCAAGGAGGCAGCCGTAAGGCATCAGCTGTGTGATGAGCTGGACAGTAGAAGTGAGGCAGATTCCCAACAAGCGGCACACATGAGGATTGTCAACACTAGCCATCACGTAAGCTTCCTGGGAAGAAAGAAAAAAAAGCAATGCAAAACACTCCCTTTGGCATGACACAAATATTTGGAGGCAGTTTAAAATAAGTTGGTCATTCAAGAGGTTGCTAAAATACTATATGCAAACTCTGTGCCTCATATCACATACAAAATACTTGTATTTCCCACTCTATGGACCAAATTTCTTCCGCTCAGTAGGAGCTCCAGGTTTTGAACACTGAAGCATCACTGAGATGCCGCAGCAGAGCCAGTCTCCTACTACTGGTACACCAAGCAAACATTGGACACAAAATCCTGGGGACAAAACTTACAGACCTAGGAGGAATTAATAAATTGAACATCAGCTGGAATCTGATGGGATTTCATCATTTTGAGCACCTAGTTGCAAGGGCAACACATCTTGTGAACACGTGTCATATGGTTTTTTTCCTCCACAGATCTTTTCACAAAACTGACTGGAAATTAGTATTTTTGAGACTTCCGCCCTTCTGTCAAAGGATCATACTAACCCAGAAAGTCAAAAGTTGTCATCTAGGATGTGACTGACAGTTTGACTTTTTAAAAAGAGACCATGTTCTTCTTCTTGACCATGTTGTACTTCAGTCCATGTCAAACCAAACAGGTTAATAATCGGTTCAGCTCTTCAGAAGCTTGAATACGTGTCTTGCTTTAAGCAACACTGGGGAAAATATCATCTCTAATTGGAAAAACTGTTTTAGACCCATATAGCAATGTAAATGATACCAGGAAGGTGATTATAATGTGGGAGCCCAAGCATCATAAACCCTTTGGTCAACTGGAATTTTGTGTTTGAGTTTCATAAATATGTGAAAAACTCTTCTTTCAAGTGTGGTTCACCCTACGTAGCTTTAGGTACCTAGCAAAGGTACCCAAGGTACCTCCTCTTCCTTTGCTCTTCTGTAGGAAGGGAGGGGCCCCTTCAAAGGCTGCTGCAGTACACTCCAGATGCACTGAATACATCCTTTAACATGGCCACGGGGTAAAACCCCCTGACTTCATGGGTTTTGTGTGCAAAAACTACTTATGGATTGAAAATTGAGATCTATATTTATATTGACATCTACTGTCAAGTCCCAGCTCAAAGAATGGATTCCAATTGGGGAAAAAAAGTAGAGCTGAAGTAGTTTGGTTTTTTTTTTTAAGTAACTTTGTGTTTGATTTACAGTGTATTACTTTTAGACATTTTTAAAGCCATTTGATTGAAAACCAACACGACGGGAAATAAATGGATTGAGCTTTTAGGTCAGCATCTTAACTCAGCATCTGGAGTGACACCAATTAATCATCCCTTGGCAATTCAGCATTAGGCTAGCAGCCCCCCAAAGCCTAAAATCATAGTGAAGGCACTACTGTGGCAAGCAAAGGAGCAAATCTGCACTTTCTAAGAGCTTAAGAAAAGAAATACCATAGCACTTTACTCATCATCTAACAAGCTTTCCACAGATGTCACATAGCTGCGTAGCTGGTAAGAACTATTATTAAACAAAGTTATTAAAGCAATGACGTTCAAGAAATAAGCAACCCCATTTCTTAAGCAATACTTTCTGGCCTTGGTATTGTTTGCTGTACCAGCCTAAGCAAAACATGATGTAACGCATCTTCTTCTGAGGTGCTAATTCTGCATTTGGTATCCTTGTTTTGGAACCCCTGGGATGAAAGTGGCCTCCAGGCAGCCAGGTTAAAGAAGATCTCCAGCAGATTTGGGTAAGTGCTCCTCAACCTACTGCAGCATGTGAGCAGGTCATTGAAAAACAACCCTCTGTCATGGATAGCACTGATTCTGTGGGCTACCTTGAGGAAAGACAAAGCAAGAACACAATCTGCTATTCAGTTACATAGATATTTGTGGTAGCATTTTTCAGAGAATCTTGCAGATCCGTTATACGATGCTCAGATGCAAACAGACCAAAACACGCTCATCTCCCTAGGCTTCCCAACTGAGCCATCGTACTGATGAAGGGTGTCTGTTCCTTGCCTTGCTTCCTGTTGGGATTCAGATCCATATTGTATTCATTTCAGCGGCGGGGGAGGGGGTGTGGAATCTGCAGAGTCGGAGCCGTTCTCACTGCCCATCTGCTGCGCAGCCCGCGCAGGGCTGACCTGGGGGCTGAGAACTGGGATGCTGCGAGAGCGGGGTGGGCGTACGGGCCACACAGCTTTCGGAGCGTGTCCAAGCGTTGACACCGCCTATTACATTCGATACTGCAAACTAAAATAGGCCACTGCCTCCTCGCAGGGAGCAGAAGGGAGCTATTGTGCGGTCGTGAGTCCCTCTAAGTAGCCCAAGACATTAAAGTGGGCCTTTGTTTCAACTGTTTATCTTGGAAATCTCTGCGGTACGCTCTGACCTGCTCCAAGTATGCTTGGTATTCAACAACAATCTTTTGAATTAGCCCTACCCTAATAAAGCTAGCGAAAGCTCGCCTGGATTATATGAGCTAAAGCTGCTGTGCTTGTTCTATACCTAGTGTGTTTCTGTAAGACAAATCATCTTTAATTGGACATTATTATCTCTGAGGTTTCAGTGACCTTGAAAAGTTGGTTGTGTAGCAAAAATCTGTTTTGAGAGGAGCTTTTTGAGTCATTCCTCTGACTTCTTTCACCGGTTTTGTATTTTTAAAAATTTTCTCCTGAAATACAGAATGAATTCCACCAACCAAATCATCTAAAAAATGAACAGGACTGAAAAAAGCAAGAGCTTTTTGTTAAGCATCCTAATTCAACGGAAGAGATAACGTGGGGATATGCTACAGAAACTTCTTTGAAAAGAGCAAGTACTTTGATATCACCAAAGAGTGCGCAGTCCCTGCATCTACTGCCCTGTCGTGTGACTATCTTGATCTGAAGGCAGGATGCAGTACTGTAGGCTTATTCATTAACCCCTCCTTCAGTATACAGGAATTTAATGCGGTTAAGTCCAAAGCATCCTTTGTGAAGACTGTGTTATGTTTCTTATCATTGTGAAGAGGGAAATGAGGGGCAGAGCTCAGGGCGGGCAGCTGAGCAGCATCTTTGCCAGCTCCTCAATCCAGGAACGCCAGCGAAGGGAGGGACCGCAGCCTGCCCGCAGGCAGGCGAGGGGCAGGGACCAGGGCTGCAGGGGTCAGGGAGCTAGGAAATGGCTGAGACTGGCCTGCAGTCTAACTAAACTAAAATCAGGATGCTTCGTGTACGGATTCTGAGATGGACTACCTATTCTTTTGCATTGCTGCAATACACGTATCAAACCATATGGTATGTAACACATGCTCTGTTGAAGTAATGTACTGGAATAACACTGTTTATTTGGGGTGGTTGGAAAAATCCAGTGTGCTTTATTAGCATCGGTAGCACAGGTAGGTTTGTTCACAGCCATTCATCCTGACACTTCTCATGGTGAGACTTGGCCTTTTGTTAAGAACTTCACCACCTCGAACCATTTGAGATGAGCCTTCCTACCTGAGGTGTCATTTGCTGTCCAAAGCTGGATTTTTATTTGTTTTTAAATAAATTTCCTGCTAAAGTGGTTCAGTTCTTACCAAAATAATAATAACAAAAAAAATCCACATTTTTTTTCCCCACGGCTGAAGGACCATCACTTCCACACAAACAGGCTGACCCAAGCCGTGGACCTGCACTTCACAGGTCCAGTTGGGACATACCAGGGATGTGCGCCCTCTCCCTGCAAAGAAGCACTCAATAGATGAGGCCCTGCCAAATCCAGGCTTCCAACCTACGCTTTCTAGAGGCATGCTCATGCAGGTATAGCAAGGAGAAGCTTAAAGACTTCATCTGTACCAAATACACTGTGTTGCCTGGAGAGTCCCTGGGCTGACCAGTCCTCCAGAGTGACCCCGCAGGCTCCAGCTCAGGGCTCGAAGGTCTGAACAGGGGACGGGGACACCCCCCCCACTCCCCCGCGTTTCTTGTCACTGAGGACTGAACCACAGCACAGGAAAGCTGAACTGAACGTACACTGAACATCCGAGTGCTCCTCTCCGCACTCAGCATTTTCCTTTCCTCGTATATAAATAAATATCTTTGGTGCTTTATGTTGTATGGCTTCAGATCTAGCAACAGAGTTCAGATTTTTAGCTACTTCACATTCAGGGAACTTTGTATTTAGGGCTCTGGCTCACCTGTTGTAAACTCACACATTTATAAACTCCTGAAACAGCATCCCATAGCCTTTTTCCCTGTTTTCTGAAGTGATGAGCTATATCCAAGAAAAAAAATAAAATTCCCATGCCTCTTTCAGGAAGCAAGATAATTTCTTGCTGTTCATGACAGAGAAATCAGACAGCTGGGATACTTTTTTCTTTTGGATTTATAGTTAATTTAATGCTATGTAACCAAGCAACTAGCTTATGACAATCTGCAATGTCAGGATTCAAAAATCATTAGATATGTTGTTACTGGTTTTAGTTCTACTGCCATAATGGCAATGAATGCCACAGTTTAAGGCCTGAAACATCAGAACAGAGAAAACGGAATTAGCTGTACATGTACAGTCCTGACCTCTCCTTAGGTGCTAGCCCACGAGTAAAACATCAGTATCTGAACTGTGAGCAAGGGGTTCATAGGAGGCACAAAAGCACTTCACAGACTGGGCTGCAAAGTGCAGTACTTCTAGATGGAGAATGCAGTTTAGGGTGCAAAGTATTTCTTCCCACCCAAAATCCTTTAGTCCAAATTCCTTTAGTTGTTATAGCGGAAAACCCACAGATCACTGACAACTTGACAAAACAAACATAAAAACTTACATCGAGTATTTCCTTGTTGGCTTTTGGTGATGTAGCCTCTCTCAACTCTTTAATAGCAACAGGAATTTTAACCTTCTCCCCTTCTGGGATCCAAAGTCCCTACCAAAAAGAAGTACAAAGAGTTACTCAGTCTCACATCTACAGGTTAATTCTCCCAATTACTTATACATTTTACATCTTCTGAGTAGACTTAAATATTCTGAGCAATGGGAAGACATGGCAGACAACAAGAATATGCAAAAAACATGTCTTGTGGGCGTTAACAAAATCCTGTTAGTGGAGTGAGTGGTATTTCTCTTTCAGTCACCTCTACTGTATTTTTTTGAAAAACCATGTTGATTACCTTCCCTGTATGAATAGCCCGAGAGATGCATAAACAACAACTTTTGCAGGTGGAAATCTAATTAATTAGTGCATCACAGCAATTGCATGTGCAAAACCTTGCCACTTCAATTTATAAATCATGGGATGAAAAGAATTGACATTTTCTTACAAAAACAAGATGGCATCTATACTGTGCAAATAACCCAGTCCTAACCATATGCAGTGGCAGGTAGGTTTATGTCTGACTGGTTCAGTGCTCGACATCTGTAGTCAGGAGGCTATTTAGGTGGCAGATGAACAGCACGGCACTGTGAGGACGTTCTGCTGACACACCCAGCAAGGTAGGTGCACATTTTCAGAGGTCAATGGGATTTGTGCCCCTGAAGTTCCTAGCCATAGCTGGAAGCCTGCTTCAGAATAGAGAGCTTTATAAAGAGATATACGAATCTACAGTTTATATTTCAGTACTACTGGCAAAGCCTGAAACACATATCCTGAACAAAAGGAGGAGCACAGAAAAGGGGACCTTGGTGAAGAGGAACAAACACCAAGAGAAAAAATACCTTGTGGACCTACACAGCTGAAGGTATGTAGACATTTTCACACATCTGAGTCAGTTCTAATGAAAAGGTGATTGACAATTCTAAAAACAAGACCCCAGACCACACAGAAAAATGGCTTAGCACTGAGCTGACCAAGTGCATTTCTTTTTTTCCTAATATTCACAACAGGGTGTATTTGGCTGTGGTAGTTTTTAAGTTGAGATCTTTGTCCTCCAGGTTCAGCAGTATGGCTTTGGCAACATCTTATGTAAAACTTCCCATGTTACCCGATTCATAACTCAACTAATGATGACCGAGTCACCTCTCTACCATTCAATATACACATGCTATAAAATCTAGTTTAAAACCAAAAATCTACACAATGATCACAGCTCCCAGTTCATGCTTTGTTTGGGTGGCTTCTGCGTGAGGGAGCAAGATGAAAAGGGGAAGAGAAACATGGTGATCTTACCTTATAAACAGTGCCAAAAGCTCCTGAGCCTAAAACTTTGACCTTTTTAAATTCTGTTTCCTTTAAAATTCTCAGATGAGCTTGGTTCGGTGCCTCCCCGCTGGGTGTCAGTGGTTCGACAAGCTGGTGCAGAGAGAAGATGACGTTAGAAGGACATACAGTCTAGGAGGACAGCAAGCAGCATGGTTTGGGGAAGCAAATAAATCCTTCCTTTAAAATAATGAACATTTTATCCCACATGAAGTTTACGGGAGGACAGCTCCACTCTGTCCTGCAGCAATAAATATCTAAAGTTGCTCCAAGTTTCAGAGGTAAAATCAATCACAGAGTGGCAACTGCCATTTTGAAGGAGAATGGAGGAATACTACTGTTCAAACGAAGGCTTTGACTTCAAAGCCTTAAAACACATGGCATGAAGAACAATGTAATTACCACAGATCCTAAAGAAGATTTTTTTTTTTTAAACTTGAGAATAAATTATAAAAGTGTTTTAAATAATGGGCAAGAATCACCTGCAACCTTTCAGGTCTGCTCTTGTTTAACTGGATGAAATTCCCATGGTACCAGTGGCTCCCCGAGACTGCAGGGTTTACAAGCAGCAATTGAAACTCTGTGAGTGATTCTTTTCTCAATAAAACAGGCAGGGTTAAATTGACTATTGATGTTTTCAAAATTTGATCTAAGCCTTATTGCAAAAAAGCAGTAATGCCCTCCAGACAGATATTTAACACTGTTTTGATGCATAAATCAGCTTTTTTGCTTAGTGATTTTTCCTTTTCCTTTCCTTTGAATGAAACTGTATTTAGCTAGATACAATCTGATTTCAGTGGGCTAGCAACCTTTCTGTTGTGATGAAATATCCTCATTTTGAGGAGTCCAGATGAGCTGAGCACAAACTGAACTCTCCTATCTCTACAACTGTAGAATACAGTGGTATGTAAAATATCGTTAGGTAGTGCATTAAAAAGCAGGCCAGCTTTTTTTTAAGGATTTTAACAGCTGACTCTGCACAGCCCGAACAGAAGGAAGCTGCAACTGGGCTTTTAGCAGTATGCTAAATACAATTTGCTAATTATTTACTAGGATTGGACTAGAAAGAGAAGGGGGCTAATCATAAAAGAGCAGCTTTAATCCAGGATAATGAATTTTGCTATTTTATATGTGAGGTACCCAGAGGGTGATGCTGTAAAGCACAGAAAACCATGCAGAAAACAAAAAGCAGTGTAGAAACCCTGTTCATGCCCAACAGGGTGAACCATTCACTTTGATGGTTTTGTGGGGTTTTTGTGCTAAAAACAAACCAAAGACAAGGCACAAACACTTCCTCAATTCCTTTCCCTCCTCTCCTTTCTCTCTTATTTTTTCCCTCAGGATCAGACATACGCCTGATCAAGGCGTAGAATTTTCAAAAGCGCCCAAGTTGCCACAGCAGCCTCAAGGCTTGTCTGGAGGGAGAAACGATTCGAGGCTGAGAGTCTACACAGCAAGGTGGCATGGATCAGCAAACACACTGCACCTCACCCTGAAGGCGTAGGTTTTTTCTGAGCACACAATCTCAGTGATTTTCATTGGGATTTAGACATCTAAATCCCCTAAAGCTTCTGAAAATTATATCCAGAAGGATCAGATCTGAGATTAAGTGAGGAGGTGTTAGGTGCACACCGCCTCTTTTCCGACCAGCATGGCAGACGCCGTGTCTGCCAACCCAAGGGCTTGTTGAGTTACAAGGCAGGTGCGTGGTGCTTTAATTCTCTGGTACGAGCAGGCTGGCACCCGCTGCCCCACATAAAGCAGCCGGTGCTGCAGCCGAGCCGGCGGCGCTCACCTCCCTCTCCTGCAGCAGCCGGCGCAGGGTCCGCTTTCTGACGATGTGGCGTCTCCGCAAGTAAAGGCCGATGCCCAAGCCAACCACCACCAGGCACAGGAGACCTCCGACGACACCAGCTGCGATAGACGGGATTTTGGAGCTGCAAGACAGGAGCGGGTGCAGAAAGAGAAAAAAATGCTTAGGTGTAAGATTTTAAAAAAAACACATACAGAGGTTGCGTGAAGCCATAGCTTTTGATCAAACACACACTCTGGACATCCACTTAAGCCTATTTGACATTTCGGATATCTTGGGCATCTGTATTTTTAAGTTCCTCATCCAGTAACCTGCTCAAAGCCTTCACTCTTCTCTCAAACTTGCAATTTGAGCTGATGTTCATGGCTTAAGTGAGAGGATTTCTCCTTCCTCTGACAAATGCACCAAGCACACGAACATCAAATCTGTGATGCCTATATATGCCAGCCATGGGCAGCCTGCGTGTGATCAGATACACACAAAACACATGGAGAGAAGGTGATATCAAGAAGGCATACGCAGTTGTGATTCCAGCAATGAAGCTGACATCTCACCATTACTAGGGAGGACATGCTGTAAGGGTCACAATGAACTTCAGATCATTGGTCCTCTTCAAGTACAGATGTCTGAGGCCAGGTAACGTGTGAACCATCCACATCGTACATACAGATTGCTGCCTCTTTATTAGAGCCTGGGTCATTTCAAATTTAAGTTGAAAAGAAAAACCTGTTTTCCAAGGTTGTTTTCTGGTCTGTACATAGAGATCCATCACAGATCTTTCTAAGTTGCCCCAGGGATTACTATTAAATAGAGTCACGTTTTAACACTACTTCTAGGCTGAATTTGTCTTGCCATAGCATGACTGTGGCCAGAAACTAAATCACTCTCTCTTAGTCAGAGAAGCCTGTTCACTTGTTGCGTGACCTTAAGCAAGTCATGAGGCCAAACAGTGCGATGTAAGATCTGGTGAAGAATGAACGCCCATCTGTGCACAGAGCGGTTGGAGATTTATAGATCACAGGGCTGGAAAAGACGCCCTGGGTCTCTGAGATGAATCCCCTGTAATGCAGGTAACCATATCAATCCTAAACATATCTCTCTCTGCCACTAGCCCATAATTCTTTCTTTTTCCAGGTCCTCCTTTTGTTCTTCAGTAACAGATCCCAGGTCTCACCTTGACAAACAAGCTAAGCAGAACAAGGTTTTGGAGTCTTGTGCCAATAGGAATATTTCTTAGTTCTTTAAATCATTTTTATAGATTGGAGTCTGCTCTAATCTGTCACTTCCCTGTACGGAGCTGAAGACTTAACTTGAGTCCCAGCCTTGCAGTGTCCAGCATGGAAATGTAAACATGCATGCATTCTTTCCAGCTCTGTCGTTAATTGTAGCAGATGAAATACTCACCCGTTTGGACAGCCTTCAAGACCTGGCCCTTTGCACCTGTAAAAACAAATGAACGTTACAAACATATTAGCTCTGGTGTACATACTTCTATAATTCCAACTAAGAAGAGTGCTACTGATTGAAAAGTTGTGTTTCACAGCAGTCCAAGTATTAACATATGAATTTATAATAGTCATTCACTCTATTAAGTATCAGTCAATGGCCTTGCTCCAAATTCTTTTATCTAGAGGCATAGTTATGCTGCATGCTCAGTTTAAAGAATATTTTAAAACAACTTCTGTCATGTGGTAGAATAGGGGGAGGACACAGATACACAAAATTCTAATGGACCTGGATTCCCTGGCTCTGCATGGACATGTGTGTTAGTGCAGAAGCTCAGCGCTGACAGCGGAGGAGGACAGAAGCACCCTCTCCCGTGCACAAGGGCAGAAAGCCACATGGAAACGTGTCACTGCAGACTCTCCTGCATAATCCTTGTTTCCTGCTAAGTAAAATATGCCTATTTCCAGACTTTCTATTGCAATGGAAAACTTGGATAGCAGATATACGCTCCCATCAGAAAACAGGATTTGACAGCACTCCCTTTGGCTATAGTCTGTTGGTATGTGTCCATGATATTTTTCTTTCAGAATCCAAGGTCTTATGTTATTGGTAATGTAAACAGGTACAACACTTATCCAGAGAGACAGAAACTCTACTAGCAAGTCATTCACCCTCCATTTGAGTTTAAAACGCCCAAAATTCATTTTGGCAGCCCAATGCAAAAAAACAACACGGATGGAAACACAGTGACTGCATTCACTTGATGGTCTAACGGGTGTGTGAGGCACCGTGCATTCCCTAAGTGCTGCTGGGCTACAAGATGTATACTCTTCATGGGAATTGTGGTCTTTGTGGTGTCTACTGAGGAAGGAGAGCATTACAGAGAGGGTTACATCACCTCTGAAAAACAGAGCACAGCAAGGAGAAAAGTCCAGTTTGTGGTATCTGCTCCCTGCGCTGACTTAAAAGAAAATGGATCATCCCAAAACAACTCCAGAGGAGGTCAAGTAGGGGATAAGGAGTGAGCCTGTGCCAGGAAAACTGCTCTGAATTCCCTCTCACCGAGAGGAGGAACGAGAAAAATTTCAAAATGGCAGGTGAGGTTGCAGATCTTATCTCATAACTTGATCTAGGACTGGGGGAGGAAGAGGTGAAGCAATCACTCATTTTATTGGGTTTTGTTTGTTTGTTTGTTTTCATTACTCTGATCTTCCCTCGTGTATTTGCCTTGTTTCTGGGCCAACACAGTGCTCCAAGATCCAGCATCTGGAAGGTCTTGTGAGTTCACTGGGCTCCCATGCAAGAATGTGCATCCTGGTGTCCTGGACATGCTGGAAGGGCTGTGCATACTGGTTCCCGGATACTGGGTGCCCAGCTTTGTTAGCGTTCCCCATCTGCCTACGGCTTGGTTTGTTTGCTCAGTTGTGTAACTAAGTACAGAGAAGCTGCACGTGCAGAGCAGAACCACCAGCTTGCTTATGGTCACAGGAGACGTATCTTGCTTTGCACCAGGCTTCTCTCCTCAGGTGGTCAACAGAAAACTGATCTAGGACCCAAGACCTCATCCTGTCATGCTCTACCACCCGGACGTGAATTTCTACATGCTAATGCAACAAAGCATGTGCAGTTTCTCCCAATAAGGATGTGAAATTAAAAGACCTCACTTCATTTCAGAATGTGACTGTGGTCCCTCAGATTATCTCTTCCTAAAAATTTTGGTTTGCCATGCTACTTTATGATGGCGAGTCTTCCATGCACTTCCTAACAGCAAAACCCAAAAATTGGCTGAGGGTATAGCATCTACAGTCTGAGGAATGACCGACCAGTTATTTTCCTACACCAGAAAGTAGAAGCAGGAGAAGTGTAGATTTTCATCTGTCTCCTTCTTTTTTAAAATTATTTCCCACAGAAATCCATCAATATAAATTCTGGTGGGATAAAGTAAAAAGGTGTTAGGGAAGAAAATGACAGATCAGTTTGTGCTTTTGAAATCCCATGTGATTTTCTGATTCATTTCACAAGTCAAAGAAGAAACAAAGCCTATGACAAATATCCATCCAGGACTAAATATAACTGTCTTTCTTAATGTGGAATTTTATGATGACACCTAACATAAGTAACCCAGGTTTTATGGAATCTAAACAATCTCTTTTTCCATTCCTGAATCGTTTTTCTCCTGCTTACAGAAAGCAAAACGAGAAATGTGACCTTGTGTTATGAACTGCCGCAAGATCTTATGGATATATCAGCTGGAATCTAGCAGCAGTTGTAGTCTCTGAAATATTTCTCTACTTATTGGAAAATTGGTGCTGTGCACAGTCCCTGAAAACTATTGCATCCTGAACTCAGATTTCATCTGTCTATGTAAATATTACTCATCCCAGTGCAGACACAGCTATTTATTTCCCAAATCCATCAAGATTTTAACAACTTTCTCCTCGACCCATAGTTCCTAATTTGATATAATACAGACAGGTTGCTATGATTTATGGCCCTTCAGAGGGGACTCACACTATAACAGCCTAAGTTACTTCACAGTCATAAAAGAAATGGAAAACCATTGGGTTTTTTGGAGCCTTACAAAAACTTCCCTATGCCCCTTCCTTCTCATTAACCTTCAGAGTGCAACAAAGGCATCACATTTGCGCTGTGCTGCTGCAACCTTCCCTCTCGGAACCCTGGTTGCTTTCTCACCCCCCCACCAAAAATCCCCTGGCATTTAATATGAAGACTGGCAAGACACATAGTGTTGGTAACGAAGGCAGAGGCAGGACGCATCATCCAGTGCTATTAACTACAGCAGTGGCTTCTCTCCTCCTTGCTCTTCCACTCCAGGGGCTGTGGCTGAATTTAATTCCTGTACTCTGGGAGAGTGGCAAGGGAAAACCAAATCCTTAAACACCTAGCAGATTAATTAAGCTGGTGTGTGTCATTAGGTGCTGGAGGTATAAATGTGGTAATTCCAGGGCTTTTGGGATGTTGCTCTTTTTATCGGAGCATATTTTCTCAGCTGTACTAGAGGCAGAGCAACAGGAAGCTCGTGTACAAAATCCCCAGGAGATTACAGGAGAAATGGGAGAGAAGGGGTCTTTTGGGCTGAGCAGAAGAAAGCTTTCTCCATTCTGTTTTCTAATAAAGGCTGAAAAACCAACTCAGTAAAGAAAATGAGACTAGATAGGATTCTTCACAGCAATACAAAAGAAGCGCTGCACTACCAGTAAGCACACCTGAAGTAAAAAAACCAAAGTTTGTGACAAAGCTCAGCTGGGAAGAGAAGTCCCCTTTACTTGCAGCTTCTTCAAATAAGGAAAACAGAGCCAGATCCTGGAAACCCTTACTTGCGTGACTACTGAAGTCAGCGCACTTAATCATGCTGATAAGATTTTGTGGGCTCTAGCTGTGAAATTGGACAGGGACAGAAATGAAGTTGTTGTTTCTTGTCATGCAGAAATCGCTGAGACTGTGGTTTCTAAGGATGCAAAAACTTTGTGAGACAGATGTTTTCCACCCACTGCTGAACAGATCCCTTTCCCGCAGCACAAGAAGGGAAAGGCATGAAGCGAAGTAAGTGGCATTACTGATTGATTGCCTTCATGGAGACAATGCTGCGCCAGACCGCACGTTCCCAGATTACTTCTCTGACACTGGCTCCCTACCCATCAATGCCATTGGCCTCAAATGACCCATCTGTAAAGCAAAAATACTAACAGCACCTTCTTCTAGCTCTGTATCCTTCAGGGATACAGCCTATTTCTTCTGCCACATTTGGGCAGCAACTCGAACAGGGCCATTGAGCATGTCCACAATATTGACTGTGGCTAACTTAGCCCAGTTCTTTCATGTAAGAGATGAAATTGAACTTTTTATATTCTGCCTTAATAACACAGGGCCAAATACACTGAGCTATATGTTGGATACCCCTAATTTTAAAAAACATCTCCTTACTCTACCCCCATCACCTGCCAGACTCCTGTGGTACACCCATCCACTGCTAAAGCCAGGCAGGAACTGACTTTTCTGATGAAGTCTGCTCTGGGAACTTGCTTGTGCACAAAGAACCACCGCGTGGCTCATTGTTACATCCACGTCTGGCAGATTGTTCTCCACGTTTGCAATCATTTGGGTCTAGAGTTTGATCTCACTACCGAGGCCACACAGTGGAAAGCCTTGCTCAGATGTGGTTACCCATTACGCTGCTCCAGTCATCAGCTGCATTTCCATGTGGCCAGTTAGAAGAAGGATATTGGATCACCATGGCCGGTTCACATCAGTAAGGACTATTGAGGTCATTAATAAAGAGCAAAGTTATTAAGATCCCTTTTCAACTGAGATCATTTGTTCTCAGGCATGTGATGGGAAGCCCCGATAACCCTTGCCTGCAACTGGAACAAAACACAGGGGACACTGCCGTAAATCATGGCAAACCCACATGGCTGTTACAGCCACCATCTGAAAACCAGAGCACTGAATTCACTACAAGCACTAGGAAGGGCTGTTACTTGCTGGTTTAACCCTTCATCTCCTTTTCTCCATGAAGGTGGGGGCCTGTGCACTCTGCTCTTTAGTGACCTGACAGCTGAGTTAGCTAATATACAATGGGATGATGGGTGGTCTGAATATGTTATAACTTCTGTCTTGCAACATGTATTACAGACATATTACAGAGGACTTGGGATCAGACAGACATGCAGGGTACAGGGCAGGGGCCTGTGAAGGAATAGACAGCAAACGTGGGCTGTTTTTTTGCTCTGAAAGCGTCACAGTCCAACAGCCAAGTCTGGAACCCTAAAACCTTCTACTGCGCATCCCGTGTCCTTTGCAGGTAGGAAACCAAGAGAGGAGACAGTTGTTATTGTCATGGAGGTTAAATACAGTTCGATTAACAGCTCATGACAGGTGGCAGTTTAAGTGTGCCCCCAGATGAGGACAAAAATGCTTCATAGAGATTGGGTTTACTGTGATGCCCATTAATAAAGCCATAGTCAGGAGGCAAGCAAGGCTTTAAACTCAGACCAAGTGCTAGCATATGGAAAGAAGATAAAAAAGAAAATACTGTGGTGTCCCACTGGGATTTCCCTCCTAAAAAATGAAAGGTGCAGAGAAAAAATAGGCCCTGGGAGCCCAGCATCCACCAGATGTCACTGATGTTCCTCCCAAAACCAGAGGACCCAGCACCAAGCCAGGTGAGAAAAAAAGAAAAGTGCATCACTGGTGGGTGCATTCTGTAAAATTCCAGGAAGTTTCCTATTTAAATCAACAAACAAACCTGTTTAACCCCCCTAAAACATTTTCCTTTTTTTTCCCCCCTTCTGTGTAAAAAAGAAGTGCCACTGAACTTTTCCTATTTACAAAGCCTGCCGCTCTCTGCTTACATTACCTGTGTACTCCTGACCTCCCTCGCTCTCTGCTATTTCTTCTTCTCAGTGGTTTGAAATGGGACCGTCAGGAAGAGAAAGAGCTCGAGACGAGCTGTTCCCTTATTTCTTTCCCCCACTGTCGCCATTCAGCCCAAGATTTTACTCACCCCCGAGTACAGTTTGGATGGCAGAGCTGGCAAACAGCATTCCCGTCGGCATATTTCCAGACAAGGGTGTCATTCTCACCCAGAACCCCTGCCGGGCAGGACTTCACACAGTGGGGGCCGTCTATAAAATGGGCACACTTCATGCAATTGTCAGGGCCCTACAAAGAGAAACAGCTTGTTTATAATGCCCTTACATCAGCCTATTCAGGAGGAAATTCAGAAAGTAAATCTAAATGCCTTCCACTGCTGGAAGCTGCCAGCATCACCTGGTTTTATTACCTTGCTACCTTATATTCTTGCAAGTATTTGCTCTTGTAGGATCGACCATACAAAAGGTAGTACCTGATGTTTAAAGCTAATATTTTCTTGAGTTTCAGTGTTGCTGCTTTTTTTGCCCTGCCTTCTGCCTGGTTGGAAAACTTGCATTTTTCATTTAAAATGGGGCATAATTTAATGACACCTTGATAAGGGGTAAGCTGAAAAGCAGAGGGCCCAGCTGCTGCCTGGTGCAATCTACCATCACACAATTTAAAACGATGGACCTGGACCTGCTGACACCTCCCTGAAGTACTGGCCTCAAATCATAATTTTCCTGGTTTCTCAGCGTGGGTTCTTTCCTCTGTTAGGGAGAAATAGGGCATAATGCAGGCAACTCAAGGTGTCCATGTGGGTTTTTTTACTTTGAAAAGCACTTAGTTTGTGTTTAAAGGCATTGCCTTTGGCCATTTTTGGCAGAACTGTTTTTATTCAGACTATAACAACACCAGGAATGCCCTAAATATTTTCAAGCAGGGGAACCAGTAAATCTGGGTCAAATTCTACTATGAATCAAACCCAGACCAGATCCATAGTGCCAGTTTCAGTGGGACTACAGCAAGACATGCTATAGGAAGATTATTTTAATTACTGTAATGTCTAAGGGCCACTATAATAGAGTGATTACCGGATGCTGGGCAAATATGGAACAAGGGGGTGGTCACCCCCTGAAGGAGCTTACAAAGTTAATAACATCCCTGAGGCCATGGTGGTCTAAGCTAGAAGGGAGGATGGAAATGCTTCACATTACTGAGCAGTGACTCTTCAGACTGATGATGGGCAGGGGTCGAACCCTCAGTGGCTGCAAGGGATGGTAAGAGGTGTTTAAAGAGTTGGGTTAAGTAGCACAGAGGAGGATCTGTGACGGAAGCAGGAGATTTGATTTCAATTACCAAAAACCAATGAGAATTAGCATTTTACAATTAAGATATGAGTTTGATCTGATTAAAAGAAAAACATTTTGTACCATTGCCAAACTGGACATTTTGTAACACAAAAGAGTATTCTCAAAATTAAAGAACAAAATTCAGGAAGACTCTGGATGACTAGCAAGACTACACTGTATTGACTTTTTTAGAAGGAGCTTTTGTGTGGTTTTGGAATAGTTAAACAAGTTTGAAAATCCAATTGTTTTGTTTTGATTGACTGTCTTTGAACATAATTTACACCTGCAATTACTTTAACTTAGGTCTTGACTGTAACCTCATTCGAGGAGGGAACATGGTTTTAAGTAAAAACTGCTTCCTGCATATTTTTCGGTAAACATCTGGTTTTGATCACAAATTTATCATGGCTTTTCAAAAAGGTAAAAAGCTACTGTTTTAATCCTCTATTTTAAACATTTTTTCCCCTCTGAATAAGGAAATTTGATTTGTTCACGCCAACTTGGCAGTTCAGTAGCTACATGTTCCTGAAATATTTGCCAAATTACCTTATCATCACATACATAAGTAAGCCTTTTTTTTTTCCTGTAAAAAGACACAAAAAAGAAAGGCCCTACAGTGCCTGTGACTGTGGATTACATGTATGATGGGTGACAGAAAAGAAAAGTAACACCCTGAGGTTCCCTCTCCTGTTTCTGCTCCCCTGCCCCAAGATCTTGACTTCTAAGCCCCCCACATCTCCACTCCATCTCTGAGAAGGGTAAATGAGACCTCAAGATTATCTCAACACAGGAAATATGTATTAATACATGGTCTGAGGCACAGGTGTGCTAAGCTGAATCTGCTCTTACAGGTCCAGTGCAGGTTGCATTGTACGCAGTAGAGTTTTGCACCAGGCACTCAGGATGGCAGGGAAGGCACTTGGAGTCCCTTTCAAACTCTCTTGGCTCCCTGGAAAACAACAAAAAAAAAGAGAAATAATTAAACCCCAGCCTGATTAGCAAGTGATAAATTGTGGTCATCTCTCCTTTTTCTGACTTTGCCAGTTTAAATAGACTGGGATGATGGTACTGAGACAGGAGGAGGTACGGGGGACCCTCCTGGCTACACCAGTAGCACTTGCTCATTGCTACCAGGGGGAGGTAAGAGTAAGGGGAATTTGGTTGACGGTGAAACACATGGCACTCCAGATTGCACACTACAAATTAGTTTACCTTCCCTTTTAAGCTAACGACACAGAATATTTGCAACGATTTCCAAAGGCTTTTAAACGGTAGTGATGCAGAGAGATCAGCAGAAACAGTTCAAGTGATTCCAAGGCTCCAAATAATAATTAGGAAAGTTAAACAGCAATGCACTGATAATTAAATTCATGCCCTCCCTACAACACACAATGAATTATTAAAATATGAAGGTTGGGAACAGATGGTTTCAACAGCAATAAAGCTGTTCCACTTCAAGTAATGGTGTTATTAATTAAACTAAATCTTCCCATCATCTGATGCAAAAAATGCCCAGATCTGCCCTTCAGGTCATAATAGCTGCTGGAGGGAATTCACTTACAAAAAAGACAGCTGCTGAACTGCAAGTTGCTAGAGAAATATAAACATCAGGGACATCAGCACCTTGTCAAGTACTTGCTTAATACTCATGATTTTTTGAAGTCAAACTTGGAAAGATTTATTAAAAAATCCTGTAATTCTCGGTGCTAGATGTGCCTTTCCTGCCTACATCACCTGTTGAATTGACTGAAAAACCCAGCTGCAGTCCTGATGCACGGGCAGTGATATGTTTTCTTCGGCCTGAGTGAGGCTCAAGCAGTAATTTTGCTTGAAATTGCTGCTCCCAGTGCTTTTTGGATGAAAGTTCATTCTCCCTTGGCTGCAACTTTGCAAACTGCAAGGACAAGCCGCTCATTTGAGCAAATATAAGAGTCCCTTTGCAGTAAGGAAGCCTACTGAGCAGTGAAGCCCTGGCTCCAGGGGTGACTGAGCTCCTGGGGACTGCAAATGGCTCCGGCTCTCACCCGATGTGCTTGACATGACGGGCATAGCTTGGATTTCCACCGGGGCTTTAAGATCCTTTATCTCTTATGGGAAGGAAGTGTAAGGCTTAGCCTCCTTAGGCCTCCAGAGAGTCTCCTCCTGGGCTTAAGGGGATGTTTTCTTGGCAGTCACCGTGGCAGGAGCAAACTCCTAAGCGATGCTGAACAGGGAAGGAGACCTAGCTTAGCTAGGTACCACGCTCACATACATCTCTGCAAAGCCAGTGAAATCCCATGCAACCAGAGACCCTATTTTTTTTGCTTTCTTTCTAGCTACAACACATTTTAAAAACCAAAATCCCCAAATCATTGCCAAAACCTCAAGCACCCCTCAGACACCTTACCCTTGCAGGATGTTGCACTGCTTCACGCACTCCTTCTGGCGATCAAAAAACCTGCAGGAGAAGCAGTGGAAGGGTCCTGGGCCCCAGCAACCCACGTCCGAGCACAGGGGGTCACAAACGTGCCTGGCAGCAGCTGGGAGAGAGAGACAAGAAAAGCCATGAACATCAAGGCAGGACAGAGGGCAAACAGCACTGCCAGTGACTCCATTCTGACCAGCCAGTTTCTCCAACCTGTTCCAAAGCAGACGTGAATGGTCCTGGCAGTGTGGAAGAGGAATAATCATGCTTCTCTTAATTCCCAAAGCCTGAAATTAAGAGTGACTTCTGGCCTTTCAAAATAAGAACGCGCTCCTCTGTGACAGCTTAACAGCCGTAAAATAAAGCTAAACCAGTATCAGGCTGAGAGGGTTGGGGTTTTTCAGCCTGGAGAGGAAAAGGCTCTGGGGAGCCTTACTGCAGCCTTCTAATACTTAAAGAGGGCTTATAATGACTTTTTACCAAGGCCTGTAGCAACAGGACAAGGGGCAACTCTTTTAAACTGAAAGAGGGTAGATTTAGATTGGATATAATGAAGAAATAGTCACGATAGGTGGTGAGGCACTAGAACAGGTTGCCCAGAGAAGTTGTGGATGCCCCATCCCTGGCAGTGTTCAAGGCCAGGTTGGATGGGGCTTTGAGCAACCTGGTCTAGTGGAAGGTGTCCTGGCCCATGGCAGGGGGGTTGGACTAGATGATCTTTGAAGGTCCCTTCCAACCCAAACCATTCTATGATTCTACAATCAATTTCTAAAATACAACAAATTAATATTCTGCAAAGAAAAATAATTAGATTTTGGCCCAGGGACCACTGCAGTCAACAGCAGCATGGTTGAACAACAGCTTCAACCTTGTCAAAAAGTCCAATGTTTGCGGTTAGCTTCAGTGTCCTTCAACCTACGTGGCTTCACTATGCCCTTAGTAGTGAAGCAGCTCCTTCCCATATGCTGGACACCATGAAATCCACACCCTTGATGGGAAAAAAAATCCCACTTTTCCCTCACCACCTTCATTAAAGCAGTATCACTGATGAATTTTGCAGCCAAGGGAACAGAGAGAAAAAAGCCTTGTTCAAATTACTCTTGTATTTCAGCAGGAGCTTCTGCGGGGAACAAGAAGGCAGCACTGACTTACCACACTCATTTTTATTTCTGTTCTGTATAATCTTTGTTTTCTGGCTCTGAGTTGCAAACAGGCTGCGCCAGTCCATGGTGTCAGCATAGCAGAGGTTCTTGTTTTTCATAATGGCAACATCTCCATCACTTATTTCCTTGAGGGAGCGCAGCCCTAAGGACTGTATTTTCAAGTTAACAACAGCAAGGGAATACTGGCCACTAAAATGGAGATGGACAAAAAGAAAACACACAGAAGAAAGATAATTAGTAAGCAGAGTTTTACTCGGCACGTTTTTCTTTTGATTTTCAAATGTGTATTGCTGTGCACTGAATTTTGTTCAAGCAAGATGCTGCTCAGCCCTCTGAAGTTAATGGCTGGTACATGACATACCTATTGTAAATCAACTGCAATACCCATATCTGGTTTTGCATGGGCTTTTTAAGCTAAAACTGGCAGGGCATGTGCACTCTGTCAAGTAAATGATGTGCAACAATGGTCATAAGTAGAGCAGCTATTATTTTGTGCTGGTCCACCAAGCCATCCTTCTTCTCAGGGTAAGCCCAGGAGGGTGCTGGATGCACTGCCGGTGCCCACACCGCCTGGCAGCCACGGTCTCCATCCCTAACTGCCCAGCTACCTCAAATCCCAAAGTGCTTCTGATCACATCGGAACTTGCCCCAGACTGCAAAGAGTGCTCTCTGTCCTGCTTGCGCTTCCAAGCTGGTGGGCAGGCTCAGGGCAGCCCTCCACACGCAGCACAGAACTGAGGGTCTCACCGACCCAGGGCACATTATCTGCTGCTACAAAGATGCTGCTCTACTCCTCGCAGGGTTTTTCCCATTTTGCATCAGTTTAGGGACACCTGAGTCTCACACTGCTTGTTGCCTTGGTGTGCCCAGACAAGCGCACCTCTAAACACAGTTTCTTTTACAGTCGCTCTGGCACATGATGTACTTACTGTTGCTTGGTTCTGCCTCGTATAATCTCCAGATTTTCAAAAGCATAGAGATCAGTAGCATTATCAGGCCAGGCCTGAATCAACAAAAATCCTGAAATGAAGAAAAGAAGATTAAAAAAAAAACCCAAACACCCCCCCGCCCCCGGTCATTATTGGCAGCAGAACTTCCTTCTGCACCAGGAGAAGGCGCTTGTGCTTTCCCTATGCTTATCTGAGAATCTCAAAGTGAAACATGACATTTTAGGGAGCAGGGAGATATTTTTAAACCCCATTTTGTAAACAGTTTACTTCTTAGCCCAGCACGAGGCCTTAGGAGCGTCAGAGAGGAGTGTGTTGGTGAGCCGCACATCCTGCCACACCGAGCCACCAGTGATGACGGCTCTTGCCAGCAGATACCCTGGCTGAGAGGCTGCTGGCTCCAGTGCTGTGGGAGAAAGACATCGCTCTGTCCCATTTCTGAGCTGCCCCCAGGGAACAGGAAAACTGAAGAGAAAGCAGAAACAGAGCAGAACAGACAGCCTCTCAGAGTGGATTTGCTAAGGCAAGCAGATTTCCCTGCTCAGCCGAGGCACTCAGGAGAAGGAGGAGAATTTGGGAAATTGCAGGCTGCTGTATGAAGCTCTGGGATTAGTCATTTCTACCCTGAAGGGAGCCAGACAGGTAAAAGAGAGAAAGAAGAGGGGAATTGGAGTCACGTCTGTGGACCCAGCTCTGATGTTATGCTCATTTTATAATGGGCTGAAGAAAATTACTTTTAATTGATACTTGGTGCAAGACGGCGGCTGAGTGCTCCACTGGCTGCTTTGTGCTCGTGGAGATACATTCACCCTAAGGAAGAGCTCTTCAGGCTGGAGAGGGTGTCTCTGTGAGGATGATGCAAGCCACTGAGCACGCTTCCCTAAGGAGCTGCTGAAAGGTTTTCCACAAATAGAAGCACACTTGGCTTTTTTTAGCCAGAGTGGCACGCCTCTGCATCACCACATACTTCTTGGGTGGCTGAGGACCTCTTCTGCTTTTACTCTTTGCTAGGGCTGACAGTTCAGCAGAAGGGATAGTCTGGCCAAATCACACACCTTGGATGGGAGACCAGTATGGGTTATGTGGGTGTAATGCTGGCGAGATGCTGCTGACCACCTTTGCGAAGAGTGACCCCGGTAGCTCAGAGACAGAAACCGTTCACTTGCATTTCTCTTCATGTGCTTAAAAAATTTCCCTCGACTCCCTTTGTGGTTTTGGCAGTACCAGTCAGAGAACACCTCAGCTTAAAACTCATTGCTAACCTGATATTTCTTTGACTGTTTTGAAGACATCCAACTTCTTGGGGTCCAAGGGTAGGGTCTTCGTGAAGGCATCACTGAAACAAACAGAATGAGGAATTGGGAAAAGAATGGCTCAGCCTGAATTTCTCCCTAGCCCTTCTCCTCCAGTGCTAAATGACCAGCAGGCAACTCACCCTAAAAATGCAACTGGGAGAATGCTGACATCCCCATTGATCTTGGTACAATTTTTGAAGGAGTCAATGTTTGTGGCGTTTATGGAGAGGATCCCTTTAAGTTCACCTATTCCGATACCGTTGCACACTGTTAAAAGGGAGATACAAAAGTCGGGGGGGGGGAAGAAGAGTGAAGCCCAGTCACATGGAAGGGAATAAACATGGAGATGCCATTAGTCCAGAAAGCACTCCCATATGGTCAAACCTACCACTGTAAGATGAGTTTCATAGATCTTTTGCCTACTTTTGCTTTTCAGAAAGCACCACAGGATAACTTCTTCCTGCCTGCCTGGCTGTGCAGCTCTGGTTCGAGCATCTCTGCACGCAGGCTCTGGCACATGCACTTCTCCCTCTTTGTCCCATTTTCATTTTATTCCTCTTGATGAGATACTGGGAAGGACAAGCGAAGGAGAAGGCTGATGTGCAAGATACACATAGTGCACAGTTTATCTACTGTACTTGTGGTGTATCCCAGTTGGAAAGCATGCTCCACAGCCATGTTTCCTGATCAGACCCCTTGTCACATCTCCAAACTATCACTGGATATTTATGTTGAATTTGTACTTAATTAAGCTCAGAACTCCATGTACTTTTTCTAATAAGTTACCTATAATCTCAAAGCCTTACTGGTTTATTCCATGCTTTGTATACCTTTGCTGCATAGCCCATCACACTTTTTACACTTCCGAACACCGTTTTCTTCCACTTCATAAGTATCAGTATTGCACGAGCGAACACAGGAGCCATGGTCTGTCACCACGTAGTTGTCTGGAAAAAACAAGGATACAAAGGTCATTGAAATGCAAGTGGGATGCATTGGGGGCTACACAGGCACTGCAATACTAGGAAGAAAAAGGGGTTTTGAACGTTCGGCATACTTAGTGAAGTACAGGCATTAATTATTAATTCTCACAAACATCCTTTGAAGGTAGATAGACATACAGTGCTATCACCATTTTACAGAGAGGAGAACAGTCACAGAAGGATAAAACAACATTGCCAAGGTCAGGCTGTGCAGAAGTGGCATAATCGGGATCAATACACAGCACTTCTCATCCCTCACCTTCACTCGCTCTTTCAGGCTAAGGGCCAGGCAGGGCAACTGTCAACCTCAGAAAGGGATACCCGTTCTGCATGGCAAACCCTCTCTTACATTTAAGTCTTGATGGGTTGAAAAAACATGGACATGGAACAGTGTGAAAGAAAAAGCAAGTATCTGTAGAGGAAGCAATGATCACAGGCTTTGAGAGGGAGTGTTTACACCAATGACTTTCTACCAGTCCTAATTAAGAACCAGCTAAGAGTTGATACTGCTTTGGTAATCCACAGGATTGATCCCATATGGCTGTTGTTTTGATGATTCTCATAAGATGTTTTTCTCCCCATCAAGAGAAAAATCTTCAGAAGTCAAAATTTAATGGTTAAAAATCAGGGAAGGTGATGGATGCAGACAGTTTGAAGAGGCTGTCTTCTTTACCAGCTATTCTGTCATTTTTGACACCTGTTCCCGGTTCCCAAGGAAGCTGAAGGGAACAAGAAAGTGCTTTTTCACTTGGCCATAACACAGAGGGATGACACAGGTCCCTTCCCACCTTGCTCCAACTCCCCACCTCCTCTGCGGATGCAACCTCAAATGAACTTACGTGGACATTCCCTCACACAAGTGGCTCCAAAGCTGTATTTTCCATCAGGGTTGACATCCATCTGATAAGTGGTGGGGTTATACAGGACCAAGGGGGGACACGTATCCTTGCACGTAGCATCATCCCGAAACTTGCGGCATGCCTGCCATTGAACAACAGCACCCATTAAACTACCTTCTCCTTAAAAAGTGACAATGGTTTTATATGAGCTCTTTAAAAACACTCTGATGGGCTCATCTGTTTCCTGCTTGGCTCTAATGGAAACCCCAAGCAGCTAGAGGGAGGGTCCCTCGTGCTTTGAAGGTGAAAGGTTGCTTCAATTGAGTTTTAATATTTGAAAAAAAAGAGACAACATGAGGTTTTCTTGTTCTGAACAAGAAACCTTGGCACTCTGGTGGAGCGCTGCTGGGATTCACGTGGGAACAGGAGCGAATCTGCATGCCTTAGACAGAAGAATTTTCCCTACAAGCAGCAACCAGATCAAGAAAAACAGTACTTTTCTTGGCCGCTTTTTAATAACCTAAATCAAATCAAGTCCTTTCCTGCCGATTACTGACTTTTCTGGCTAAATATTAAATTGAAGCCATTATATTTGGCTGCAGGCAATGAACAATTTAGCAGGCATTTATGAAAGACAAGTTGGTTCTTCCAGTCTAATTCTGCATTAAATTAATAATCACTCTCTTCTCCTCTTTTTTCTTCCCCGGCGTTCAAGATGAGAGAGAGTAACTGTCTTCTCTGTGAGCCAGTAAGGGCATCATTGCCACGCAATTTATAAGGGGACAGGAATACAGATAACAACAACAAAACCCAGACTGGATGGTTTCTGCGGCAATTATCCATGTGTCACTTAATTCAGAATGAAGTGTAGTGCAAACATGGGGAAGAGTTAAAACCACAGCATGCACCAACCCCCTGAAACTCTTGTAGAAAAGCAATGGGATGTTTTTTTTCCTAAAAAAGCTCCATTTGCTCCTTCTCCCTCTGCTGCCCCAGGGTCCCCCAAACACTGCTTGTGGGGCAAGTGAAAACCAGAAACCTTGATTTCATGTCCGAAGTTCAGTGAAATGCAAACAAAGTGAAGGTCCATCATATCTTATTCCCCTTACAAATTCTTGCTTTAGTAAACCTAGATTATTACTGCTTAGCACTAAGGAGCACAAGGCAAAGCTGTGCTGGCATGGAAAATGACTGCACCGTGGCGGCAGCTGAGGACCTGGGGACCTGCCTATGTGGCGAAGTCACCCTACAGCAAACGCTTAGCTGCCCTGCAACAACTTTTGAGCTCACTGGGCTCTCAGAGGCACTCACGCTGATTTGGCATGTGCTAGGAAGGTCCCCCTGCAGAGTCAGTAAAGACCAGCTAAGGGTGTTGTGAAATTCATGTCCTCTTCCCTCCCGCTGACCACCCATGCAGGGAAGCCCCGGAGCACCCTCCACGTCAGCATCTCTCAGAGGCCTTCTCAGACGGAAGAAGGCTAGAGGACAGGCAGCTGAAAGCCTGCCTTGCTGTGCCAGGGATTTAAGCAATTATGGTGGTGGTGTAGCATCGTTACCAGGCAGTCGCTCTCCCGAGGCCCCGTGCACCCCGCAGCACACTGGTTGTGGCAGCAGTCGCTGGGCACCTTTCCCCTGCACCGGCCAGAGCACTGCTGGGCACAGATGACTTTCGTTACTGGAAGACACAAGAAAAAAGGAAAAACATCAGGACCGAAGAACATTTAAGCTGTACTTGCTGCAATGAGATCAAGAAATATGGAGAAAAAGTCCGGTGCAAGATCTGTGCTAATTTTCCCCATGGGATGCATATTCTGTCCTCATATAAGGCCAGAGCTCAGGAGGGCTGAGAGCTGGTGTGGGTGGTGGCGAGAGGGGGTTCTGTTCAGGCCGTAATTCTCTTGGCTCTTGCGAGGTGCTAAGCACTCTGGTCCCAGCCAGCAAACCGTGTCCTGCTTAGAAAGAGCATCCAGGTCCCTGTGGCATCAATGCCTAAACCAAGAAAAACTCCGTGGAGTCATTGCATCTTACAGCTGGGCAATAGAGAAGGATCTTGCTCCATTTTGTTGAGAAAATCTGCTATTATTGGTGCTAGCTTTGGGAAAAACAACACGACGGGAGGACTGCCAGGACTCTGTACTATAACGGGAAGCCGTACATTGTTGGTGTGGTGTTAGGATCCCTTCAACGCACTAAAAATATTTCTGAAATTTGTGTAGAGAGGAGACTCACTCCGCAAACCGATTTCATATGCATATTGTATTATTTTTCTTTAGGCTTCAATTCCTCAGCCAAGTTTTATCTTCGTTACTCAACTCCCACAGGGTTTGCACCAGTGCAGCAACCTGGAGGAAGAACTGGCCCTGATTCAGCTTTTTGCAGGGAAGCAAAAACTGCCTGCAACATTTTGTTGAGAATTGGGAAATCGTCTCCATTTGAATATCAAAGCAGAGAAAACAATAATCAGAACAATTAAAAAAACCCCAGAAATTAATGGTTAGCATTAAACCCTCAAATGGGATTGTTTGTTCTCTACAAAAAGATTACCGATCCACAGAACCTGGCATTAAACTTCGGAGAAACCTGATGGCTAATTCGCTGCATTACAGCACCCTGAGCATTTCTGCTTTGCACTACAGTAACTGTTACCAACTTTGCAGTTGGCAAAATGAGTTACAATATCATCAGGAATTCCTGTAAGTCCGAAACAGATGGTTGTTAATTAACAGAAAATTATTGGAAAATGTAGCCTGCTACAGGGTATATAACTGTGATTTTTTTAAAAATCATATTTCCTATCTTTTTTCATTACACATTTTTGTATCCAAACTGTATTATTTAATTTTTCTTGTAGGCCTCTAAGCAATATATTGTATTTTCAAGGAAACATTATTTCCACAATATGCATAAGCTTCTCTGATAGCAACTCCTTCATTCAGCTAGAAACAGGGGAATAAAAGGAACATTTTTCTACACTAACAGCATTTTGATATCTGTTTTCCATAAGCATCACCCAGGGAGTAAAACAGCTCATCACTTTGATAGCTATTGACTTGAGCTTCCTGCTGGAAACATATATCATGGCAAACGTTTATATTTCATACAGAATATCCCACGTTCGTTGAAGGAGAAAGATACGTATCATCCCAAACTTTCCCACATATGGAAATGTGGGATACATTTTCAGTTGGCCAGATTCTCAAATGCCTGGAGAGGAGAGCCAGAGCCTGCAAACGGTTTCATTTTATGCACTCGTAGTCATCCTCCTGAAGCCAGCAACAGTTTGTAAATGCTGGAAGCTTGCAGAGCTGAGACCTGAGGTTTTGGAAGCCCCTGGGACAGCTGTGCAGCCTCAACTGCAGGGATCAACCTGGGAAGGGCTTTGTGTGCACAGCCACTGGCCACCTCAAGAGCCAAACTGCAGAGCTGACCGAAAAAAACAAGCTTATACTAAATGAGGATAGAAAAGCTCTGTGTTCCTTTTTCCTTAAGCTCTAGAAGCCATACAGATTTGGCCTGATACTTGCAAGCAAGAAACTTAGGTTTAGGTGATTATTTGTAATGGAAAACCAAAGATAGGATGTTGCTTTCATTTGTGTTATGTTTAGATCAGCAGTCTTTCCACTGAACTTTACACAAAACAAAGAATCGGAAACAATGCATTTCCCCACTTATTACAGAAAAAGGAAATAATGAAGCAGCAAAAAAGTTGAAATGGTCTTCCTCCTCAACCTTTACTTGAGGAAAAATAAAGCCTTGCAAAATCTCAAGCACTTCTAAATGGGTGTTTCTGTTGCTCTCTTAACATCAGGCAAACATCCTACCTGCAAATTTTTACAGTAAAGCACAGGCAGCCAAACAGAACAACCTCACGATGCCAAATATCTCCATTTACAAATTAAAAAATGGCTACACATTTTCTAAGAGCCTTCCAAAGATCCTTTGAGTAGTGTGATTACCCACATGAAGGTGACATCTTTTGTGTTTACAAAAGAAAGCTACTGGCATTCCAAAAAGAGGAATTAAAGCCAGCAAAAACCGAGTTATGTTGTTTCTAAGAGTAGAAATTAATCCAAAGTGTCGTTAACTGGCCTGCAGAGTGGCTCTGTGGGAAACAGCAGGAAGGCACACAATTCACCATGCAGCTACTGTGTTCTATCTTATATGGTAAAATGACTTAAGGAATAAATGTTCTCAAGCGCAGATGGGAGAAAGTTATGGGTGACAGACAAAAGCTTTCAAAGCAGGAGAGAGTTGCAGTCTTTTGCCTCTGGAGGAACAGCACATCTGCAGGGAAATCCAGACCCAAGTCAAACCACCTTGAGGTTTCCCCTCCAGAAATGAAGCTACTTGGGGGGAGCAGGCATGGCCGTCCTCCCCGTGACTGCACTTCTGCAGAGTGGGAAGCAGGCCATGTCCGTCCGTGGTGTGCTTCAAGGAGCCCCAGCATAGAGGGATGCAGAGAAGGCCAAGTGTGAAATACATGTCATCGATTGGTGCTTGGTGTTAGTTTTTTGGTAGATAGAAATTTAGTATGTCAGAGCACACAAGATTTCTTAATCTGCAGGCTTACATGTCTGGCAGTTCTGTTCGCCAGGGCCCCAGCAGTGGTCTTCTGTGCAGTTCGGATGGCATTTGGGACCTAAATCACAAGAGCAGAGTATTATATTCTATAAACATGGACAACAACAACATCATGTGAGTTACAGAAAACAAATACTTGAGTTTTCCTTCTCGATAAATCAGGGGAGGAAGCACTTATATACCAGTGCTCAAAAAGTTTGAGAGCTGGACCTTAATATCCTTATCCTTTGTTCATCTCTGGTTTCCTACGTGCAGTTCTCCACACCTTTGAGCAAGCGAGCGCAATACCCAGCCAGTCTAGCTTACGAAAGAGGCGTATTTTTCCCAGGAACAGGAATCTCAGCTACTGCCCGGCTGGCCCTTCTGCTGAAGTTTGCATGCAATGGCAAGTCACCGCCGGCTTGCGGCCGGGCATGTGCCAGCTGCTCGCTACAGGCCACATGTAAATCAATGTTTCTGAACAACGTGGTTCGAAAAAGAAAACAAACCCAACTGGATTCGCAGGCAACTGCCAGCTGCTCTGACCACAAAGTAATTCGACTTGACTGCTTCGCGCCCTCCTCCCGCCCTTTGCCAAAAATATTCCTCAGCATAGGACTACGCAGCAGATGGACAATCGATGGAGAGGTGGCAGGATGGACAGACACCGTGCCTGACCTTGAAGGTTCAGTGCTGGGCTCTTTCCTAACCATCCCTCCTTACTCTTTTCTTTCTTTTTCTTTCTCTTAATGACAGGTGAAGTCCCAGAGAAACAACTTATTTTAGATTACGGGATTGTTATTAAAACCATAAATGGCTAAGTAGATTAATCTGGAATTCACCGCATTTAAGAGGCATTTCCTACTAGAATGATTCTTCCTGCTAACAACACATGATTCTCCCTCCCCTCCACTACCCATCAAATAGCTGAACAAACGCCAATACTTGTCCAAGAGTTGATTGATTTGGTGCGCGACCAAAGAACTTTTTTTTTTAAAGTTGAAAAGGGAAAGGTTAACATTTCTGTGGTGTTTAGAGCCAAACTCCTCTGCTGACTTGTATCGTTTGCAACCCCTTGATTACGCTAGGGCTCTGCAGAAAAATATGTCAACACAGAATTTGGCTATTAGCTCTCAGGCAGTTACGCAACTGGAAGAAGATAAAGAAAATATGTTTTTCCGCCAATTTACAGTGCCAGAAATGAAATGCTCAGAAACGAAAATAAACTCTCCTTTACATGAAATGACTGGGGATTTTACAAGGGACTCATAAGGCTGAAGGATTAGCTTGAGCCCACTCAGAGCATATGCTACACAAACTTTTAAATATAAGCTCATCTCCCTCCTGATCTAAAGCATCAGATTTATCTGCCTGTTTATCATTAATTTTGCAAGGATAATCTGTGCAGCCCAGAACACCAGTGTTTTATGGCACTAAAAAGGCTTCAAGTCCCACAGTAACTCCATGAAGGTACCCATATGGGTTTTCTAGACCAGAGCCTTATATTGTAAACAGAAGACTGCTGGAAAGCAAATGACTGCACATTATTCTGAGCTGTCTTTGAAGAACACATACGTAGGGTACTGTCTGAAACCAAGAGAAGCCTTCCAAAGAACTTCAGTGAGCTATGAGTTAAGGACCTAACCACCATGAAAAATTACATCTTCAGCCAGCAGTGAAGAAATGAAAGGACTTCCCTTGGAACAGGGCTTGGTGGCCCTGCATGCAGGAACTGGTGGACCTGAAACCCACCACATGAAAGATGGGATGTTCGTTCTTCTCTCTGAAATGGGGGAGCGCATAGCATTTTGATAAGTTAATACTCACAAGAAGACAGGTTGCTTGCAAATTCAAGCACCGTGAGAGGCTTCTTGCTCGTGTCAATGATGTCATTCCAAAGAACAGTGTCCATGTTGCACAATTTGGGGTTGTTGCTGATTTTAACACCTCCATTGAGAATTTCTGCCATGGAAGGAAAAAAACTGGTAAGTGAAGCAACCTGCCTAAGTCTTCTGTCTCTGATCTAAAGAAAGGGAAATAAAACACTTATTTCTTCCTCTCAGTCATGCTATGCTGACAGAAAAGGACAATCTGCACGGCACCAGCACTTCTGATGGCACAACTAATGCCAGGCTCAGACTGATGGGTTCTGAAGGGTCAGCTGCTGTTGGATGCCACCAAGGTTGCCACATGTGGCTTTCTGCCTGGTGCCAGCTCCAGAGGCCACTGCATTCAGCAGAGATGGCACTGCTGGTGTGCACAGCCAGAGATTGTGTCGTGGTTTAACCCCAGCCAGCAACTAAGCACCACGCAGCCGCTCACTCACTCCCCCCCACCCAGTGGGATGGGGGAGAAAATCGGAAGGAGAAAGGTAAAACTCTACGGTTGAGATAAGAACAGTTTAATAGAACAGAAAGGGAGAAACTAATAATGATAACAATAACAATAATAAAATGACAATAATAATAAAAGGATTGGAATGTACAAAACAAGTGATGCACAATGCAATTGCTCACCACTCGCCAACTGATGCCCAGTTAGTTCCCGAGCAGCCACCCCCCCCAGGCCAACTCCCCCCAGTTTATATACTGGACATGACGCCACATGGTATGCAATACCCTTTGGCCACTTTGGGTCAGCTGTCCTGGCTGTGTCCCCTCCCAACTTCTTGTGCCCCTCCAGCCTTCTTGCTGGCTGGGCATGAGAAGCTGAAAAATCCTTGACTTAGTCTAAACATTACTTAGCAACAACTGAAAACATCACTGTGTTATCAACATTCTTCTCATACTGAATCCAAGACATAACACTATCCCAGCTACCAGGAAGACAATTAACTCTATCCCAGCCAAAACAGGACAGACTGTCAGCCAGAGACTGTGTAAGACCCTAACTTACATACCACCGGCTCCCACTGGAATTCAACAGAAAATACTGACGCGTATGCGCTGGAATCCAATAATGCAAAATAACAAGTGGATACTTCTTTGCCATTTTGGGGGACACAAATAAATCTCACCATACTGTTGATGCTTTGGATTTTCTGGATCTTGTTGCAATGGAAAATTATGAACTTTCGTCATCTTTTGAAGAAGGCTGGCTAGCAGGAAAGCAAGTAGGAAACTGGGAAACTACATTAAAATCCTTGGTTTTAAAACAGGATTTGATGGCATATGACTTTGAGAGGAGATCTTCAATCAGATCTTGATACCAACAACCTAAAGTTGAAGTTTGCTTTATAGGTGCCTCCACCTCTTGCCCTTGTCTCACCTGATAGCCGTTTCATTGGCAGCTCTCGGAGTCCCTGGGTTTTATTCATGTGATAATTAGATAAAACTGCCAGGGCGTAAGAGTTGTCATACAGCACATTGCCTCGGATGATCTGGAGATTTTCTAGGGGAATGACATCCACCATGTTAAGCGCGATGAGCACGTAGCCTGCAACCTCCTGTATCGTCTGAGAGAACAACAGAAGAAACAAGGTTCTTAATCCATAACACTATTCTACTCTTGATAGAGTCGCTTTCCTCCTTCCACCCTTCCAATCCACTGTCTTTCAATTTTAAGGAATGATAAACCACTTAATCTCATTAAAAAATAAAGAAATCCAAGAACAAGAAGGGACTATGTGGAAAACTTTGCTGTCTAAGCAGGTATAAACTGACCCTTAGAGCAGCTACCAGGGGGTCATTCCAAAGGTCCAGCTTACCCCTGTTCTGTCTGCAAGCAAGGGCAAGTGGAGCTGCCTAGGGGATGCAGGAGAACAGGGCAAGCATGTATGATACGGCAACCAAGTGTGATGCTTCCCCTGAATACTTGCCCAGCCTCCAACAATTGGCAGCACAAAGATGCTATCTGATTGAGGCTTTTACACTGTCTCTTCTGAGCCCCTTTCCTAGTGGATTGTCCAATGCTCAGCAAAGGAAAAGAGCAGGTAACCACCTCTCTCTTAAGCATGGAACAACACAGGACAACAAGACAAGTGAAGCACTGTTCCTGGATGTAGGTGAATTCCTGCCTTGTACTGAAATCACTGTAAATGAGAAACCCTCAGACTACCACTTAGGACATTTTTCTCTTCTATGAAGACCACCAGTGATTTTTCAGCAGACCTGTTATGTTCCTAGGGACACTGGGCTACATGGTCAAGTTGTGCTTGGGAAATAAAAATGGCAATGCCATCATATTTGTAACCCGTATGTCTGAAACATCTCTTTTCTGATGTTCTTGCTTGTTACTATAACTAAATGCTTTTTTTCCCTTTGTTCCCTGAGGAGGAAAGCTCACACAAAGAGATTCCTCCTCTAAATCCAGCTGACTGACCTGTTTATTCAAATCTTCCATACAAGAGCTCTTGATACCAGACATACACTAATGTCAAAAAACTTCTTCCTCTCCTGCTTCTTTCTTTGAAAACATCCTCATCTGATAACTGGGCATGCCAAAATCAATGCATGTAAAACACCTTCTTTAAAAAATATAAGCTAAAGTGCAACGCTATTGCCACTGGTGGCAGTCTGGCAGCGGAAGAACAGACCCGTACCCCTCACCTGGTCTCTGCTGGTGGGGAACCTCTGAGAAGTGAGGCAATGCATAAGGATGTAATAATATTTGTAAATAAGAAGAAACCCACCTGCATGGCAGCCAGCATAGGTTGGCAGGTGCTTGAAAAGCTATTTCTCAAAGTACCTGATTTAGTATAGTAGGGTTGAGCGTATCCTGCAGCCTACAGGTATGCTGAGACTGTGACCTGCAATTTCTCTGACATCAGCTAGCTATGTTTTTGGATCACCACAGAATTTTACAGGTAGCCGATCCTTTGCACTTTAAAAATGCAGTTAGATTTCTTTAGCAGGGAAAGCCACATTGGCCAAGAACGCTAACCTTCAGGAAAGAAAGGTCCCGGTTGTGCTCCACGTATGTAATCTCCAGGTTGCTCAGTACCACCTCGCAGTTGTTGTACATCCTCTGCAGGCTGGTGAAATGGTCTTCCACATGTCCCAGCTGAGTCAGCTTGTTATTTGTCCCTTGACAAACTGTGGAAGAAAGAAGAAAACTCCATGAAGGAAACAAGAATAAGTACAAGGTAAAGACTTGTTGCCCACCCATCTTTACAAGCACCACCGTAAGTGAAGAATCAGCACAGATGTGTAAGAAACAAGAACATTATCTTGCTTGATGGTAATGGCAATAGCGTATGGAGCACGCAACATTTCCCAAGCACAGACATGTACCAGAATTAAGAGCTGGAATAACCCTCTGTCACTTTCTGTTATATACCCCCCTCCCCCCCCCCAAGATGATGCTTTTATACATAAGTAGCACTAGGTTTTCTGTACCACAGACATAACTCCTGAGGACAGGGCACTGATTCGGTGCCATCAAACACTATTGAAAGTGTACCCTGCCAGGTACCACTGCTCGGTATCACCAAAGGCAAGGTGATTTCCCCAAGGACCCATTTACAATAGTTTGGGAGGCACTGGGTCTCCTTGGAAGCTCCGTGGGAGGGAGCAGGGGTTTCCTGCAGGACCCCTCAAGCTACAAGTAGGGTTTTAAGAGCAAACTGAACCTCTAGGGCTCACACATTTCTTGCCACTCTGACATATTGGGAGTATGATAGATTCAGGAGATTTCCCAGCATGTTCAGCTTTGGCACACAAATCCACCTAAGCCTGCTTTGCTGGTGGGGAAGGAAGTGGTGCTGCAGAGAGCACCACTGAGATTACAAACATTTATAACGGCATGATGGAAAAATTTGTCCCCACCTGAAATTCTATTACTCTGCTTTACCAAACCTAGAGTAACTGACAAAAGTTATCACCAGTACTACATCTGATTGCAATGAAAAAGCAAAATGCAAATTGCTTTAAAGAAAAAAAAAACCCACACACAAGCCCCAGAAACTCTGTAGCCATCCAGTCACCCCCTGGACTATCCCTACATAGCTAAAATTAAAACATCTCTGAGTTATGCTAACACAGAGGAAAAGAGAATGATACAGAAGGCAACATGGTAAAAAAACTTCACAACACCTTCCAGGTGGAAAGCTTCAGCCCAAGTTTGCTCTTCAGTGGGAGCAAACGGAGGCCCTTATCTCATCATCGCTATAATGCAACCCCAGCCTGACCTCATGGCTTTCCATAACACACTGAAAGAATTGCATTCTTTTAACTTGGAGAAAATAATAAATGGAATTATACTTTTGTAGGGCCATAATTCCTAGAAGCACCAGTCACAAACTGGAACACCATTGTGTGGGGTGCTGTAAAGCAAATAACAAAGACTCTTGACAAAGCTGGGAAGAAGTTTTGGAGCTAGTAACATAAGAGAACACCTGTTGAAGATTTACCAGACAACTGATGTTTTATTTGTAGGAAAAATAACTTAATAAGCAGTGATAAAAACACACTTATCAATCGTTAAAACCATTTGCTGAACATATGTTACTTCTCAGTACAGTCATCACCATTAAGGAGCTACAGTGATAACAGATTAAATACTCTTTGTGTTTAAAGCAAGGTTATTCACTCACATTCCTCAGTTTTTTCTCATTATATGTCTAGATAAACATTATGGTGTTTGGGATCAGAGTGGCAACTGCTAGTAAATGGGGACAGTCTAATAGGGGCTGTGATTACACCATCTAAGCCACTTGATACTACATGAGCCTCAAGTGTAGAAAATGACCCTTTTTACATTTGCCTTGAATTCCTGTAACAAACAAATTTCTAAGCAGCATTTTCTGTTCCAGTTTCAAACTTAACTGTTCCAATGTGTTCATGCTTAAAATCTGCATTTTCTGCCTTCTGCCTCAAGTACAAGGACCATAAATTACGAGCCAGAGTCACAGGAGGGGTCTTATTCTGTGGAGTGCTCACATTTTGAACGCAGAAAGTTAGAAATATTGTCATGTGCTGGTCTGCCCTGGAAAATGTGTTGTTGCTGGGGATGGGGGTGAAGCAGCTTTGAACTGACTGGAAAAGTCAGAGAGTCCTCCCAGAGGTCATCTTGAATTTTAAACAATGTTATTCTCCAACCAAGGAAAAAGTCAGTAATAAAAGATTTTCAGACAGTTCAAAACCTCAGCTCAGATGCTCATTTTAGGCATCTCGGATCTGATCTCTAAAACACGTGTGATTTTGAAATGCACTCAACTACAATGCAGGAACAGGCGCAGTTTAGAGTGCTCACTGAAATTAAGACATGTAAGTCAGCCTGTTACGGTCTTCAGGGTCTACAAATGGCCTGGTGCTCTCACTGCATCTCCGGTGTTAACAGCAGCAAAGATCTGCCCTGGTACTCGAGACAGGCCCTATGCAAAAGCTGCAGCATTTATGCTACGTCTGAACTGAAGAATGGGTGGAAGGAGAAGCCTTCTCTGGTGGCGGCATCCTGGCCACCCATACCCACCATTGACCCCACGCAGCTTGGATTGCACAGTCCAGCTTACTAAAACAAGCCCTAGGAGAAACTGCACACACTTGAACGTGATTCCCTTGGGATCGGAGAAGCACTGGAGCTCTGAACTTGGCTCAGCCATCCCGAGAAACATAGACTTTTTCACTGCTTATTAGGTCAGGGTTGATACAGCAGACGGAGGGCATGGTTACTCTTCTTTTTCTCCTTCTTGCTCTCCCATGGAGCCGCTCAGTGAACCGTGCCAAAGAGTTGATCCAAGATACAAATAATGTAGAATAATAAATAAATAAATGGACAGAGGGTATTTTTAGCTCAGGAAAGCTCGCCAGTTTGGTTCGCTGTGGTGCCCCATGAACCGCTGCGTTGGAAACTGCTCTGAGGACAGCAAGGGGGCAGGAGCAAATAACCAGAAGAAGGAGCTCGCCAGCTTGTGAAGCTGCAGAGGGAAACGCAGACATAATGAGCTCTTAAGAGGCTTCAGGTTGTTCCTCCAGGACCTACTTTCTTCCCCTTTGAGGGGGGAAACTTTGATGGCTCTCTACCAAAGGTGTCTTAAGCCACATGCAAACCCACTTGTCCCTCCAGCAGGCTCATCATATCCTCTACACAGTAAACAGATGTAGGTGAGATGTTAGTTAAGATTCAGAGAGGAAAAGAAAATGGGTTGCTTCTGTCGATATCTCAACAGTATATGTATAGTCATATCAGTATATCAGCCAGACTACCCTATAGGAGCTTTCCCTCTCATGCACAATTTTTTGTTTGCTCAAAGAGATACAGGGCCAAATCCTTGTTTGCTGCAAAGAGATCTAAGTACATCCAAAAAAGTGAACTTCATCACAGAAGTATTTACCAAATGAGAACCTGGGTCATAAGCAGTATATGCTGAGCAAATAAAACCCAAATCAAACAAAACAAGCTAAACCACTGCAGCAGCATCACTGAACTGAGGCAAAGTTGCTGAATAATTTTCTAAATAGAGTATTTTGAAAGAAAAGGGAATGGCCTGCTTGCATGTGACGAATAATACCATTCCTGCAATTTCTTTGCTTACGAAAACTGTTCTGAAAAGATACATGCTATAATTATCTGTATATAATACTACAATGTGAATGCCATTCTGGCCAGAGGGAAAAGCACCGACAACGTGGTGCTCCCCTTGCTCTGCAGAGTTTTAAGTGGGATGTGCATACATGAGTGGATGGATGAATTATATTATGATTTAACCTCTATTGGGCTGACCTATTTGTCCTCCAAGGGACAGGTTTTGACGCCACCTACATTCATTATACCCTTTTGTTTCAATGTGTAGAAAAGCCAGCACTATCCAGGTTTAGGAGTCAGCGGTGGGTGTGGATACTTGCGTGGTACTACTGGGGGCTGTGGTAGTATGTACCACATAATATATGTCCCATGCGGACACTTACACCTGGCTGCAGCACACATTAGCTCTGAATGAGAGTAAAAAAACCAGAGAAGTTTCCTGATGAAAATTCAGGGTGAGAACGTCCCTGACCAGTAGAAAAGCCAAGATCCAGACCTGAACTTCAGGACATGGACTGATCCCTAAAAGACAAAAGCTTTGCTCTTATCTGTAATGTTAATATAATAAAAATACAGCCAGTCTGGAAAGTTTTGACACAGAGAGGACGTCCCAGGAGGCCGCCGCCTGCTGCAGTGCTGACAGCGGGGCTGCTTGCTGGGAGCGCTGGGCTCTCCTGCCCCAGCCCGGGTGACCCGCTGGAGCCCCAGAGCCCCAGCCACCACCCCTGTGACCTGGAGACAACCCAAAAAGTCTGCAGGGCAGCAGCCTGGGATTACCACTGCAAAGCATTTTATTTCTATATGATACTGCTCGTAGCACACATGCTGCACTTCCTAAATGCCAAAGTGATGTTGATCTTGAATCAGTTACAGGATTACCTCAAGAGGCAAGCTAAAACCAATGCAGCTAGTGCTGAAATGAGCCAAAATGTCAGGCGCTGTACAAGACAGCAGCAATCAAAGAGCTGAAGACAGAGGCACACTGTACCGATAGATGCAAACTCACTGAATTTTAGTGCTTATGAAAAGTGCAGGGTTGGCTGCCCTGGATACTAAAATCCTCTCTGTCCACAGACATGCTTGCTCCCCTTCTCTACCTCAAACTTGGCCTTAAAGGAGTATTTCTAGGTGATGCAAATGGGGTCACCCTCTGCAGCCCTCTGCTCCTTGGCCTTTACTTTCTTGTGCAGCCCAAAGAAGTGGAGTGAAACCAAAGCATTTCCTAAATAGCGTTTTCCACAAGTGATGGTAGGGAGACAGAAAGCATCCATCCAGCCATAATGCTAAGCGACTATATTCTCCCAAATCCATACAAGCTCAGATTAAACCAAGTGGTCCCTGCAGCAATTGCCCTGATACAAGTGAAATCTGTTTTCATCTTTTCCCCAGAAAATCTCTGATTACTAAAGTCCCAATCCTGTCACGCATGTTTGTCCCAGACTCGAGAAAAACCCTGGAGAATGCTTTGAAACCAAATTATCACCAATCCCCAAATCATCAGCTGTTTCTGTCCATGCTCAGCCTGTATTAGTCTCTCTGCAGCTCTGACAGATGCATCAAAACAATAA